TTCTAAGGGGGAATAACTAGAACCTCTTTCTTAAAACAGAGGTTGTTTGAGATTGAGGGTTTGTCTTGACACCGACCCAAGGTTATTCCGTCAAGTTCAAGGATACTGACAGAAAAAAATTTTCTATTTCATGCTATGATTTAGTAATAGAAAATCACTAGAAGCTCTTACTTGAAACAGAGATTGCTTATGAACGGAGGCTGTGTCATGACCTTGATCAAAGGTCTTTCTGGCAAGTTCAAGGTGACTTCCAGAGAAAAAAAAAAAAAACATGTCCAGGCATTATTCTATTATTGCTTTTTTTTCCTACCGATTTTGTGCACGCGAGTTCTCGAAAACGGGTTGTTTGATTTTCAGGAAACTTTCAGGTCTGGTAGAAAATAAAAAAAATCTAGATATATTTTTTATTTTGATGACGTCACTTCCGGTCCGGAGATTTCTGCGATTAGGTGATTTTTAGAGGGTCACTTTGTCCGCTCGTTTTCTAAAAAAAAAAAAACACTTAAAATAGGAACTTGATATTTTCAACAATGATGGAGCAATTTTCATAAATATGTATTAGATAGTTCATTTTTCCCGGAAGTGCCACACTTTGACGCTTGGTATGCTCCGAAAATAGTCTTATTGAGAATATCAAAATTTTTAGCATTTTTTCAAGAATATCTCTTTACTTGTAAATATTTTGTTAAAACATATAGAACAAAAGTTGTGCAGAATGGCAAGCTGTTTCATTTGATATCAACAATTATGGGCTGACCCCTAAAATAAGGGATCTACAGGGGCTGAAATTTTTTTTCTCAATATCTCCAAAACTATTGAGAATTTGTGATACATCAAAGAAGCAAAATTGTTCAAAATAACAAGTAGAAGTGAATAAGATTGTCGAAAGTCGTCAAATAACGTCACTTCCGGCCAAAACGGAAGTAGTCAGAAATGCATATTTTTGCCGTTTTCGACATGTTATTAGTTAATTTATGTAACCGAAAGCATCCAACCAAATTTATCATCCCTCAAGATCACTTCCGGTCAAACCGGAAGTAGCCAGAAATAGCTTATTTTGCAGGTTTTGATGCAAAATTGTAATTTTAAAGTTACTGAAGACGTCTAAACTCATTCCTTTCTCTTGTTGACGTCACTTCCGGTCAAAACAGGACGGAAGACCTACTCGTTGCTTTGCAACGAGCTTTGCTCTAGTTATTATTATTATTCTTATTATTATTTTTTTGACTTTCTAATTTTGTGCACGCGATTTCTCAGAGACTATTGGGTGGATTGGGATGAAATTTGCTAGGAAAACGTGTGGTAGGCTGAAGTTATTTTATCTGGGAGCAAATTCCAAAAATCACACCCGATGCCAAGTTATGGACCATTTCCTGATTTTAAAATGAAATTTTGTCCAGGGATAATCTTAAGAACGGCTAAAGATATCAATGTCAAACTTTCAGGGATAATAGATCGTGATAAAGACTTGCCGGGAAGCTAATTTTTGTACGTCGTCGGCACTTCCTGTCGCTACAGGAAGTGGCTTTCAGAAATTGATTTTTTCAACTTTTTTGTTTTTAAATATTTTTCTGCGATATTAGTAGGGATATTAGAGCGTCTTATCGGATTACTAAATATATAATTTGTTTTAATGTTGATTTAAACATACTCTAGAAATTCGCATTTTTCGTTTTAAGTCACTTTCTAATTTTGTGCACGCGATTTCTCGAAGACTCTTATGTGGATTTACATGAAATTTTCAGGAATGGTGTGTTGTAAAATAAACTTGATCTATCTGAGTAAAAATTTGGAAATTCACTTCCGGTGCCAAGTTACAGACCATTTTCTGATTTCAAAATGACATTTTGTCCGTGGATAATCTCAAGAACGACAAGAGATATCAATGTCAAACTTTCAGGGATTATAGTTCGTGATAGGTACTAGCCGGGTCGCTACTTTTCGTTCGTCGCCGGCACTTCCGGTTGCTTACGGAAGTGATCAAAGAAATCGTAAAATTTGAACTTTCCTTTTTAAAATCAATACAATTACATCACATTATTGCATCTCTTTTGTAGTTTCGAAATATGTTAGTCCCAGCGGAAACAAAAACGTCCACTTCCGGTTACAAGAGAAAAACTACGTAATTTGAGTATTTTTCTTCCCCATTAATATCTTTTGTAGTTATTAATGTCTTTTCTAGTATTTGAATTGAATTTTAAAAATGTTATTCAGATTGCAAATGTCTAGAGTAATGTCAAATATCTTTGTAAAATTCACTTCCGGTCGCGTGAATTTCTGTCCTCAAAATGAGAAGTTGTGTAACCAAGATCTCGGAAACGGTAAGAGATTAAGTCACCAAACTTATATGAGCAACAGACCATAAGATGTGGGCAAAACCATTTGGGTTCAGAGTGTCAGCCGTTACTTCCGGTCGTCACAGGAACTGATCAAAGAAATAAAATATTTTAACTTTTCTTTCTTAAATTAAAACTTGCATCACTGTATTGCATCTCTTTCACTGTTTTGAAATATGTTAGATTCCACCGGAAATATAAACGTCAACTTCCGGTTTTAGGAGATAAACTACGTTATTTTTATATTTAACTTCCTCATAAATATTGCTTATCGATAAAGTACTTGAGATAATTTTATGTATGTTGTAGATACTGCAAATGTCTAGAGAAAAGTGAGAGTTTTTATAAAATTCACTTCCGGTCACGTGTTTACCTGTCCTCAAAATTAGAATTTGGTCTTACAATACTGCTCGGCAACAGTAAACGACTGAAGACTAAAACTTTCAGGACTGATAGTCAGTCATCAGTTTATTTGAATCGTGAGAAAATTTTTTTGCATCGCAGTTACTTCCGGTCGTGACAGGAAGTGATGCAAAAAAGGGAATGTTTAATGGTTAGCACGTTGGATTTTTAGGCTGACTACCAGGGTTAAATCTCCAGAGTGTCTGAATTTCTTTTATCACTTTTTCAGCTTGAGTTTTCTTTTTTTCAAAATCGGACGGAAGACCTCTCATTGCTCGCAATGAGTTTCTAGTTATTATTATTCTTATTGTTATTTTTTTGACTTTCTAATTTTGTGCACGCGATTTCTCAGAGACTATGGAGTGGATTGGGATGAAATTTGCAGGGAAAACGTGTCGTAGGCTGAAGTTATTTTATCCGGGAGCATATTTCAAAAATCACACCCGGTGCCAAGTTATGGACCATTTCCTGATTTTAAAATGAAATTTTGTCCAGGGATAATCTCATGAACGGCTAAAGATATCAATGTCAAACTTTCAGGAATAATAGATCGTGATAAAGACTTGCCGGGAAGCTTATTTTTGTACGCCGTCGGCACTTCCTGTCGATACAGGAAGTGGCTATCAAAAATCGATTTTTTCAATTTTTTTGTTTTTAAATATTTTTCTGCGATATTAGTAGGGATAATAAAGTGTCTTATCGGATTACTAAATATATAATTTGTTTTATTGTTGATTCAAACATACTCTAGGAATTCGCTTTTTTCGTTTTAAGTCACTTTCTAATTTTGTGCACGCGATTTCTCGAAGACTATTGAATGGATTTACATGAAATTTTCAGGAATAGTGTGTTGTAAAATGAACTTGATCTATCTGAGAGAAAATTTGGAAATTTACTTCCGGTGCCAAGTTGCAGACCATTTTCTGATTTCAAAATGACATTTTGTCCGCGGATAATCTCAAGAACAAGAGATATCAATGTCAAACTTTCAGGGATAATAGCTCGTGATAGATACTAGCCGGGTCGCTCCTTTTTGTTCGTCGTCGGCACTTCCGGTCGCTTACGGAAGTGATCAAAGAAATCGTAAAATTTCAACTTTTCTTTTTTAAATCAATACTTACATCACATTATTGCATCTCTTTTGTAGTTTCGAAATATGTTAGTCCCACCTGAAACAAAAACGTCAACTTCCGGTTATAAGAGAAAAACTACATAATTGGAGTATTATTCTTTCCCATTAATATCTTCTGTAGTTATTAATGTCTTTTGTAGCATTTGAAATGAATTCTAAATGTGTTATTTAGACTGCAAATGTCTAGAGTAACGTCAAGTATCTTAAGCTTTGTAAAATTCACTTCCGGTCGCATGTTTTTCTGTCCTCAAAATGAGAAGTTGTCTGAGCAAGATCTCGGAAACGGTAAGAGATTAAGACACCAAACATATATGAGCAACAGACCTTAAGATGTAGGCAAAACCATTTGGGTTCAGAGCGTCAGCCGTCACTTCCGGTCGTCACAGGAAGTGATCAAAGAAATCAAAATTTTAATTTTTCTTTTTTAAATTAAAAATTGCATCACTTTATTGCATCTCTTTCACTGTTTTGAAATATGTTAGATTCCACCGAAATCAAAAACGTCAACTTCCGGTTTTACTACGTTATTTTTATATTTAACTTTCTCATAAATATTGCTTATCGATAAAGTACTTGAAATAATTATATGCATGTTGTAGATACTGCAAATGTCTAGAGAAAAGTCAGAGATTTTTCTAAAATTCACTTCCGGTCCTTGTCTACCTGTCCTCAAAATTAGAATCTGTTCTCAAGATACGGCTCGGCAACAGTAAACGACTGAAATCTAAAACTTTCAGGACTGATAGAAGGTCATCACTTTATTTGAATCGTGAGAAAATCTTGTATCGCCGTTACTTCCGGTCGTGACAGGAAGTGATGCAAAAAAGCGAATTGTTAATGATTAGCACGTTGGATTTTCACGTTGACGACCAGGGTTAAATCTCCAGAGTGTCTGAATTTCTTTTTTCACTTTTTCAGCTTGAATTTTCGTTTTGTTTTCAAAATCGGACGGAAGACCTCTCATTGCTCGCAATGAGTTTCTAGTTTTTTTTTTCTTTTTGTTTGGCAATTGATTTTTATTTTGACAGTGAATTGAATAGTAAGTTTGAGGGATGACTAGTGATTAGTATTTAGTCAACAATATACTACTTGTATTCTTGCTCAGATTTTATCAGCTGTAATTATTTTAGCCAATGGAAAACTTTTGGTTAACTGGCATGCCGGAAATAAAGAGTTCACAGTCATATGGAAGGACGTTTTCTCTTCTCCCCACCCGATGTATTTCGAGGTATCTGCGGGCACCGTGGAAGGAGGAAGCGACATTCTACAGTGGCAGGAGACCACATCCACTAATGTCACATTTGGTCTACCTCCCTCAATCACCAGTTGGTCTGGTCTTCATGCACATATCTTTGTTAGGGCTGTTAGTGCCAGTGGAGTATATGACGACATCAAAGGATATATTCAACTTCCAAAATAACTTATCACAGTCCTTTTTTAACTCTGTCATACCATTTTTTTTTGGTCAATGTAAATAGAATTATTTTTAAAATAAATTGGAAGACTAGAGATATACCTAGTACTCTGAAAATTTTACTTCAATATGCGTTAAAGCAAAAGAATTGTGCTTATGATGTTTCAGAGGAGCGTCTTAATGAAAAATGTTTTCAATGATTTCTTCCGTCCATCATGTTTTATAATAAAAGTTTGAAGTGACGTTCATCTTAGTCTTTTTTATTCAAGGATGAAAGAAGAAATAAACATTTCCAAATGCATGATTTTTTTTCCACATGCATTAATTTGATCGAAAAGTGTTTTCTTTGAATCTGGCTCATTGTACCTCTGGGAAAATTCGTTAAATGATCCTAGAGCATGATTATTTGTCTAATCACTGTAAAGGATGACTGCACTTAAGGACATGCGGAATTTGCGACAAAATAAACTTTCAAAACAAATATTTTTCTTTTCATTGCAAGAATGGTAAACATCCAATCTACAACTTTATGTAATTACTTTTAATAAAAGTGTGTATTTACGAAGTTTGAATCTGTTTTCAAAGGCAGGGGTCATCACAATTTCTTGAATCTCCGTTCGATAATGAGGACGCCCCTTTTTTTACTGACTTCATACATAGTCAGCGCATGTTTGTCTATCGTTCTACGTTTAATAGAAGTTGTATATTTGCATAAATAATTATGTGTCAAAAGGAGATTAATAGACAAACATGCGCTCATTGTTATGCCCCGGGATCGAAAGATCCCGGGGGTATATTGTTTTTGTCCTGTTTGTCTGTTTATCTGTCTGTCTGTTGTCAACATTAACCTTGCCCATAACTTTTGATTGTTTAGAGCTATGACTTTCATATTTCACATGTGTATTCCTTGTGACAAGACCTTTCTTTGGGTACCACCATATTTGACCTTTTGACCTTGACCTTGGAGTTTGACCCACTTTTGCAAAATTTTATGAGACTTTAACCTTGGCCATAACTTCTGAACAGTTGGTGCTTGGGGTTTAAAACTTCACATGTGTATTCTTTGTGACAAGGCCTTCCTTTGGATACCAATAACTTTGACCTTTTGACCTTGACCTTGGTCTTTGACCTACTTTTGAAAAAATTTAACCTTGGCCTTAACTTTCGAATGGTTGGAGCTAGGGCTTCCATACTTCACATATGTAATCCTTGTGACAAGACCTTCCTTTGAATACCAACCACTTTGACCTTTTGACCTTGACCTAGGAGTGTGACCTACTTTTGAAAAACTTTAACCTTGGCTATAACTTTTGAATGGTTGATGCTAGGGCTTTCATACTTCACATATGTAATCCTTGTGACAAGACCTTCCTTTGGATACCAACCACTTTGACCATTTGACCTTGTCTTAGGAGTTCGACCTACTTTTGAAAAACTTTAACCTTGGCCATAACTTTTGAATGGTTGGTGCTAGGGCTTTCATACTTCACATATGTAATCCTTGTGACAAGATCTTCCTTTGGATACTAACCACTTTGACCTTGACCTTGACGTTTGACTTTTATTTCAAAATTTTAACCTTCGACATAACTTTTGAACAGTTGTATCTTGGTCTTTCAAATTTCACAGGTGTATTCCTCGAGACAAGATCTTTCTTTGGGTATCAACATTTTTTATCTTTTGGCCTGGCTTTTGACTTGCATTTGAGAAACTTTAACCTTCACCATAAGCTGCCATACGGGGGCACCAGTGTTTCACAAACACATCTTGTTAAAAAGAGAAAAAACTTCTTCTTCTTACATTTGTTCTCTGTGTTGTAACCAAGGGTTGTGACATGTTGAATATTATAATTCACCACGTGATTTCTTACCTCAGGTAACTTTGTGAATACTAAATTCTGTCACTTGACTTGTAAGGTACCATGTTTTGTGCTAACTTGGACACTGTTCGAACACGTTAAGTCATCTGGTATTGATATAAAATCTGCTTTAATTACAATGACGTTCTCATATTGTTAATTTCGTTTTGAAATCTATGTAGGCGTCTTATAAGATTCAACTTATTGGACAGGTACATGTAACATTGAAATAAAAACAAAGGGCGATGTAGATAAATGAACAACACTGAAAAAGTTTATATAAATCTAACAATTTAATAATACGAGCAATGTAGGGAATTAGCAGCGAAAATTATAACCGGACCACTGTGCGATGGCCCTGCGTTACGTTAGGAAAATGTATATGGACACTAAATGTTTCACAGAATAATCCTATTGAAATTGGCATGAATAATCCGCGGTGAACTGATTATCTCTCTCAGAAAATGTTGAAGAAGAATCCGTGGCACCGATCTTAAATTCTTAAATTCACCGTACATTGCTATTCATTTCACATTGACATTCACAGAATCTTCACAGGGGACGCAAAAGAAGAATCAGAATTACTAGAATTTAGTGTTTCCTTACACACATCCTTGGGCTTTTTTTAAAACTATTTGTCTAGATTTGAAAATGCAGGTATTTCATCCTGAATTTATAAAAAGAAAAGTTAACATTTTTCACAAGAAAAGTTTATTTTTGTGTCCCCAGTAACAACATAACGTTTAATATATACACGTGCTTGTTGGCATGAGAGTGCCATAAGGAGTGCAATATTGTTTGAATACTGCATAACAACTTTTCATTATAATTTACAACATTTTAACAAATGGCACACTGCTTTCCCATATCAAATTCCATTTTGCAAAAGAAATACAAAAGAATTTAGATTTAACATTTAGGTACATGTAAATGTCAAAAATCTATTATAAAATATGAATTAAAAAATAGTACGTGATTGAAATTCACAGATATCACAGTCATGATAAATTGATTGAAAGCATTTATGTTTGGAAATATACATTCAGCCCACGCTCACAGGGACTGGACCTACATCTGAAAAGAAGTGGAAAGGTAAAATGTTTCTGTGCCTTTTGTGGGAAAAAATCGACATTGTAAGAATGTTTTGTATTCCTTTGCTATGTATTATATCTGATTGATAGGAACGGCAAAAAAAAAATAATAATAATAATAATAATAAAAAAAAACAATAATTAATCTGAAGGGTCAAATTACCAGAGGCCTGTTCAACAGAGAGATCGTTCGCGAGCGCTCGCCAAAATTCTTTATCCCTTCAACAGAAATGTTCGTGAGCGCTCGCTCTGTTGAACAAGCCTCAGGTTGTGCTCCTGACATAGTGATCTAAAATTATATCCTATCTAGTTCTCAGTGTTTAATTGTTACCTTTTATGTAAGATCAATGTAATCAAATCACATAGAAATTCTCCATTTTATAGTGAAACAAACAATTGTTTTAAAGAACAATACATCAAAAATCAATCAAATTGAAAAAAATGATTAAATAACCCGAATGAATTGATTTAGGATAATGCATCACAATGTATATGCATTATCAGATCTAAAATAATACAAGAATGAACACATCATATTGACAAAGACTTGTAGAAAAGATTTAAGACTTGTCTGGGTGATTCAATTGATTCTAAATATGCATAGATAATCAAAAGAAAATGCCAGATGGCCACAATGTTCACCTGAGAAACTAATAAAACAAATATAACAGTGTTTCCCTAGTAACGGTGAAAGGTCTGAGAAATAAATCAGAATTAATTAATAACTAATTGTAGATTTGCTGTCCTTGCAAAAATCTTTAAAACAATTTTTTGATATAAATTATCTTGCTAAAAATTGTTACCCTGTTTTTACCCTATTATTATTATTTAAATTATTAAATGAAAGTCCAGTTTCACTATATTTGAGAAGATCCTGTATAGTTTTTTTGTCTATTGTTAACAAATATTTAAACCAGAACAATGTATTTGCCCCATTTTGACTCACAGTAAACAGGGAAGCTGTGTGTACATTATTACATACATATGAATATGCATGATCTCACAATATAAAGAAGTTTTTTTTTGTCGTTTATGTTAAATGTTTCTTTGTTAAGAGGTCCAAATTTATGAACAACAAAAAATTTAATTAACACACTTTGGTAAGAAAAGCACATAGCCCCATAGAGCTAAAAAACAAACATCAGCATCAACAATACAAAAGATTCAGACAGAATAGAAACTTGTGTACATCTAAACATACAAATGCACAAATGACAACTTCTTTTTACATATCAAAAAATACATACATGATTATAGTCTGTCCCTCAAGAGCACTTTCACCACATTTAAATGATATCAAATAAATTTTGACTTGTTTTCAAAGAAAAATAGCATTAAACAATTAATTTTTATTATTTTCAATCCAATTTTACCCATATTGGATACATACAACTTGAAACAAACGTGTGACACTGTCAGTTTTTTAAAGTCTATTGAACGATCTAGGTTTACTTTGTGCTTAAAATGACCCTGTAGATATACCAATTTATGAACCAACACTCTATGTTCCATTTAAAACATCAAGATAAAGTAGAGACTCAGTGCTTTCATTTCTTATTAAAATGTTTCCTCTGAAAGTCCAGGTATTGGAAAACAGGCTTTGTGAAATTGCATTGTTCTTGAATTTAAAGAAAACAGGTTTATTTGAGTACTTTTAGCGAAGAATAACAATATGAGCACACTTCTTGATCCAAAAATCAAAACATGTTTTGTAATCTTCAGAAACAGTTTAAAAAATTGCATATTTTAGATCAGAGGTTGCGCTCTTTAAGAAATATTGAAAAATAGCCTAAAAGATTGGCTGTTTTTGTTGAATTTTTTAGGATATGGTGAAAATGACACAATTCATGTCATAATGCATTAAGTAGCCAGAAAATTACATCATCTTCAATAGATACACAGTCACCAAGGGTCTAAATGATATTTAATACATTTTCAGCTAAAACTGTTTCACTTTTTTACAGGGCCAAAAGGCCCTAAGTGAACCTTGTTCTTTACTGGCCATTTCTGTCAAGCTTGTGAGAGATTTATTTGTCATTATTTCCAGAGATTATCCGAGTGTGACGTATAAACTGACTCTGAACATGTACAACATCATTATGTTATGGACAGTTGGCAATAGAAAAAAAAAACAAGTAATGACAGATATCCTTTCCAAAATAGCAGCTATTTTCACGATGTAAAATTTTGTAATAAATTAGACTTTGAACTTGCTGCTGTATCAATATACTAGTTTGGGAAAATATGATCCATAAATGGAACTTAGTTTGAAAGCCCGATATTTATGTATTTTGAGATATAACGCAAAAAGTACCATGGGCATGGGGCAGACTATATACGATTCATCACAATCCCAATCAAGTTATAAATTTATGGGTACTTAGTACATGAACTTTCTTACAAAATATTCTAAACTTTAACAATCATAGTAAGCTGTGTGTTAGCACTCCATGTGGCATTGATTTTCGGGACTTGCTGGATTTTACAGAACTTATGGACTTGTTACTTGTAGCACTGTCAAGTCGTTTTCGTCGAGGTGAAAACCAGAGAGTAGCTGTTCTTGTGGACCTGCCTGTTTCTGGCTGATTGTCAGAAATACCAGTAGCATGGCTATATTCCTTGTTCTGTTGATTGTCTTTTGTTGCTTTTATAACTTCCTGAGTTATAAATTGATGCACAATGACATTGAAATGTTCTGGTGCTTCCATCATCACCATGTGGCCAGTTTCTTCTACAATCTCCAGTTTACAGTTGATAATTACCTTTTAAAAATTTTATGAGTAAAAAATGAATAATTACAACTTATTTATTTGGTTAAGATACAGACTGACAATCTCTACAAAAGCATCTTTATACATGAAATATTCTTCATGTGTTATCTTCAATTATGCTTCAATTAAAATCTACAATATTACAGAGTCTAAATATACTGATATGATGTATTTGAGGGTTGATCATCAATTAATGTCATTTTAATGAGCACTTGTTTATTGGATGTAATATAGAAATTAAATGTATATTGAAATGCTCATAATTTTGTAGGAGAGATGGGAGAAAAATATTATTTATTAATTTAATGCTACAAGAGCAGACTAATGCAATGAATAGGTTTGGAAATGATGAAAACTGAAATGATACCTTATTCATAGCCTCCTCTTCTTCTAGTGACACGAACTTGTCATATCGACCCCAGATAAGTAATGTAGGCATACTAATACAGCTGTGGTACAAGTCATCCCCATCTAGCCACCATTGTCCATTCATAATGTAGTCCAGGACATAAGTGGGAATGTCAAAAGCTTTCTTTTTTTCTACTAACAATTTTGAATTGTCATAGAAAGCACCTCTGCAAAAAAGCAATAAATTGGTATTCAGTCTACCTATGTTATCTTGAACTCGATGGAACCGAAAAGAAACTGAGAGATATAAGAGGATTCAAAATATTGAGGTTCAAATACAAAATCAGAGATTACAGAGCTCACCTCAACAAATGTTGTTTTTAAGTAAGGCAAAGTCCCACACTAAACTAATAATCTAGTAGTGCGCATCCCTAGATGCGACATTTATGCAATTTCGGTCTGATAGGGCTTGCAGTTACTTGGGAATGGACTTCTCTAAAAACTACTACTTTTAAAAACTTTTAATGGTCAGCAAAGGCTTTTTTAATATATGGTAATATACATGGAACCTCAGCGTTTATTGTTTTGGGCCAAGAAATGCACATGAAACTAGTATTCACTGATACTCCGGAATATACATGTATCCAATTGCCCAGCAAACGCCTTACAAAACTATGAAATTATACAATGCAAGTTTAAAAATCAATTCTTTGTAATTATGAGCAGGGAAATTGCTGATTCGTGTCTAATCTGTGACTGAAATGCATGAAAAGTGTCAATCAGAAAGCAAGTAAAAAAAATGCCGTTTTTTTTCAAGCATAAAATTGTGATACTCACTCGTAATGTAACTCATTTAGCTGATTGGTCAGTTAGAAAGTCACGCCGGTGCCTCAATTAGCATATGAATGTATTTTTATGTCAGAAAAAATGGTTTCGTCCATCTCTTCATAATGGGAAAGGCCAGCTAGATTTTACAATTTTTTAAACACATGTGAGCGCAGTTAGGTACATTTTTCTCCTTTCACATATAGGTAGATTTCAATAAAATACAGTGACCAGCCAAAGGAGAAAAATGTACCTACTTGCGCTCGTATATTTTAAGGGCTTCAAAGAATGGGGCGGGGCCAAAATTAAATGGGAATTGGATGTAAACATGGTACCCCTACTCAAAATAAAGACATATATCTTCCAAATAATGTTTCTATTTTCGGTAAAAGTAGTATTCCATGAGGGTACACATATCAGTGATTAAGTGCATGCAAAAATTAGAGTAAAATTTTGATATTTAATTTTTTGCCAATTTGCCGGGGGCCGTAAGGCACATCATCCTTTCTGTATAGTGATGGGGGTACACATACCATTGTACACCTCTTATTTTACTTTTTGATCTGACACATATTTCAGGTTTCCAGTAGCAAAACATAGACACTGTCATTTGTCAATAATATCGACTCGGACAGCATTATAAAGACAGCTCTCTTCTGGACACCAGAGGGAAAACGGAAGAGAGGAAGGACAGAGTCATAGGCGGCGGACAGTGGAAGCTGAACTTAAAGAACAAAAGAGAAGCTGGGGCACACTCCAAAAGCTAGCCTGTGGCAGACATGGATGGAGAACCCTTGTTACTGCCCTACACACCAAAGGTGTCATGGGCAGTAAGTCAGTAAGAAATCATGGCTTTGCTGTTCTTGAGAAAAAGATTTTTCATATATATATATATATATATATATATATATATATATATATATATATATATATATATTTATATTTATATATTTATATATATATATGAAACTTTGATTGCCCATTGTGGCCCCATCCTACCCCTTGAGGTCATAATTTGAACAAATTTGAATTTACACTACCTGAAAATGCTTCCTTAAGACTAAACCTACATGTAGCTCTGCTGTTCTTCAGAAGAGGATTTTAAAAAAAAATGTCCTGTATATTCCTATGTAAAACTTTGGTTGCCCATAGTGGCCCAATCCCTAGCTCCAGGGGTCATGATTTGAACAAACTTGAATCTACATTACGTGAGTATGCTTCCATATGACTAAATACATGGCTTTACTGTTCTTGAAAAGAAGATTTTTTAAAATCTTTCTTATATATTCTGATAAAAACTTTGATTGCCCATTGTGGCTCTATTCATGGGGGTCATGATTTGAATTCTACACTATGTAATGAAGCTTTCATGTAAGTTGCATCTTTTCTGGCCTAAACTTGTTACAATATTAATATATCAATATAAATATGACTAAACATGGAGCCCTATGCTGTTATTGAGAAAAAGATTTTTAAAGAATTTTCCCCTACATATTCCTATGTAAAACTTTGACCCCCATTGTGGCCACACCCTACCCACTGGGGTCATGATTTGAACAAATTTAAATCTGCACTATGTAGTGAATCTTTCACATAAGCATGCACTCCTCTGGTCCAGTGGTTCTTAAGAAGAATATTTTAAAAGATTTTTTTCCACTCTTATGTAAAACTTTGATCACCTATTATGGCCCCACTCTATCCCCAAGGATCATAAACTTGAATCTACGGGTCATAAACTTGAATCTACACTATATAATGAAGCTTTCACACAAGTTTTAACTTTTCTGGCCCAGTGGTTCTTGAGAAGAAGATTTTTGAGATGCCATTAAGGTTTTTATTAATTTCTATTTATCTTCCCTTGAAAGAGTGCATGGTCCTTCATTTGGAGAAACTTGAATCCCCTTCACCCAAGGATGCTTTTTGGCAAGTTTGGTTGAAATTGGCCCACTGGTTCCTGATAGAAGAGTTGAATATGTGAAAAGTTTACAGATGAATGACAGACAAAATGTGATCAGAAAAGCTCACTTGAGCTTTTATCTCAGGTGAGCTAAAAATGTACTGAACACTCTTTATGATATTTCTGTTCTGAATGAAATATATAATTAATATTTACCTCGTAAACAGACATGATATGCATGGCTTGATGCATGCAAGTATGCAACTTGGCAGGGAGAAAACCCCAGGCTGAGGGGCAAGGGGAACAGGTCCTCCTCCACTGACCAAAATCAGCTTGGTGACTCGTTTTGCTCTCTGTCTAGCTAAGACAGTTGCAAAAGCACAACTGTTCAAAAATTGAAAAAAAATAATTGAAAATCTCATAAGAATTAGAAAATGAGTCATATCATGAAAATAAGTGTCTGCATAAAACGGAACATAAAAAAAATTGTTAAAAGTTATAATTCTTTCTTAATTGACAAAATACTCACCCATATGAATGACCTATAATAATATTACTTCTTTTACAATATACATCAAACATAGTCTCCATGTCTCGTAAAATTTCCCTGAAATGATAGCTTTTCTTGTTATCTGGAGCACAACTTAGTCCATGTCCAATCATATCTGGACAAACAATTTCATATCCTAATTTAGCGAAATAGTCAATCTGAGGTTTCCATATGTCTGAGCAACCTCCCACTCCATGAATGAAGAAAAGCACTACTCCAGGATCTTGCTTAGTTCCATTAACCTTTGAACACCCTGCACCATTAGTTTTCACAATTTCAGATGCAGCACTTTTCATAGATCGGCTGGTTGCTACAGACTGTTCATCCTTTTCCTCAATTTCAGACATAAATGCATCCTCATCACCTCTTAGATTTAAAGAAACTTCTACATTTGAAGAGGACATAATTGTTTCTCCACCAACAGAATCCCTAGAAATTGAAGTTCTTGATGGACCAGAATTAGATGGAAAACGATGTGCATTAAAAGATGTAGGTCTACTTGCAATCCCCTTTTCTTCCTGACCTTTAGCCATGTTTGGATGAATTGGTTCAAAGTGATCCCTCTGAGAATCTGATTTTGGATTGTCTCTAGCACTCTTTTTCTGGTTGATACTGGACTTGACTTTCCCATAATTTGTGTAGGATAAATTATGATTTCTTAAATACAACTGAAAGAAAAAATAATCTTTATGAATATATTGCTTTCCTTTAAAAAAAAAAAAAACTTGAAAACTTTGACACATCAGTTCCTTGTCTTACCTCTTGTTCTTGTTCCAGTGCATTGTCTCGTGGTCTAGCATTTAGATGCTGGATTCTTAAATACCTCTTTGGTCTGAGTTCCACAATATCATCATTCTCTGGTCCTGGACCTATTTTTCTTGACCTTCCTGACTGACAACATCTGCTCATTGCTTTGCATACTGCTATTTTCCAAACTGCATACAGGTAATAAAATATTGAAATTGGTCTTCTTTGTATGATAAAATTACATTGCAAGTTTTAGTATTTTTTGTCAAGTTCTAGTATGCATTTTCCTGAAGAAAAAAAGTGAACCGAATATTAAGCACATGTCTGTCAAACTTCAGACTTCATAATTACTATATCCATGTTTGTAGAGGATAGTAAAGGACATACATCTAAAGAAATTTGGGTCAATTGACAATAGGTCAATGACAAAGGTCAAGATTGTTATGTATGACCATTTCATATTTGAGTGATGCATAAGTTGATCACTCTCAAAATAAGAAGGGTCATTTAAACTTTCTTTTTTTTTGGCCAATTCAGGTTAATTTAAAAAGTTGAGTTTTTCTGGAACAAACTGATTCAGACTGACATGGCACTATGAGAGCAGTTTAATTATCCTGTCTAGAAGGCATGTCATCAGCTAAAGTCTGTCAATTAAAATGTTATATCTCAGGTATATTTGCAAAATCAATATTAATAAAGAAGTCAACAGCTTTTGTAAGGAATTAAATTATTAAGACTTTACTGAAGTAAATCAGCGGTTTACTTGAAAACATGTAGCACTGTTTTTTCAAAGGGGGGGGGGGGGGGGGAATTGACAAGATGTCTGAAAATTAAATTCTATATAATTATTAAATTAAACCCCACTCTTTTAATAATTTAATTCTGGTTATAATGTGGTATTTGATTGGATGAAAAATTTACTTCATATTGTATAAATTGTGTTGCCTACATTACAATGACTTGCGTCAAAAATGTAACGATCCGCCTGACATTACAATTAAATTTTGTACAATTTGAAGTCATGTTTTAAGGGAAATCATCTTTTTTTCCTACACTAAATGAATGAAATTAAATTATCAGCCTATGAATGAAATTAATAGCTACCTAATGTATATATGGTATGAACTGGGTTGGAACAGTTTACTCTTTTTTATAGCGAGCGCAGCGAGCGGCGCTTTGCGCCGCTCGTCAATGCGAGCTCTAACGACAACGCCTGGGCGAGAGAAAATTCAGACTACTGCACATCCATTCAATAGAATTTTTCTCTGCAGTAATTCTGGACCCACAATGCATCGCTTTTTGTTCTCGCTGCTAACTTTGTTCGCGCTGTAACAACAACTAAAAAATCACAAAAAACAAACTCACCTTAATTTAACGGATATTGCATACAGATAGTAGATTAAATGTTCTTTGTTAAAATCTTCACACTTTTTAAACTTTGTTTATGGAAATGCAACTAACATACGACGTCAGTGACATCACAGTCTAGACGTTCCAATTGTCTCGTGCGGTTTGAAGAGGCGGATCTTAAGGTCAAGAGCTAGTAAATGAGTTTAGACTGTCTTTTTGAAGCTAGATTCATTATGACGTCATAATTGATTTCAACTGAATTTTTCCCGTACTTCATGGTAGTAATAGAATTATGTAGAAAATGAAGCATTCTGATGGAATTCAATTTGAAATCATGTCAAAAGTATCCCCGATACCTATATTCAATTAAATATCATTTATAAGCAGAGGTCAAGAAGATACGAAAAACCTTTTTCTGAGAGACTGTGGGCAATATAGATACATTTCCTCTTTCTGAGATGGAAAAAACTCCGAAATTTATACCTGACCTTCTTCATTTTTCATTGAAAATGACAGTTTAAAACATGTTTTCTCGTTGAGTTTACCTAAAAATTATGTCCCGATACACCTTATTTTACCAAGCTATACTTGTAAAGGATCATTAAAAGAAATCGCACGTCAAATTTGAAAAACGTGTAGGCACCTTTCATTTACTAGATCTTGACCTTAAAATGAAGTGAACAATGCGCTCGCCCCAACGGTCGCACCGTCAACATATTAAATCACTCTGGGGTTTATAAAGCGTAAACTGGCCCAACCCAGTTTATACTGTATAAATTGGATAGCTATTAAATTCATTCCTTAAATAAATTAACAAGGTTGTTTATTTTTTTAAAAGAGTTAAAGTGGGGCGTAGAAATTTTTTGAAATGTTTTTTTTTTTAGGTAATTTTTCTTTTGATAGTACTATATGGAACTATGGATTATGGAAAAAAATAATGTCATTCAGAGATATTTTATGAGAAAAAAGTTTAAAGGATCCGGAGTTCTATATTGAGGGAGGGGGTCCTGTCCTCAAGCACATGTCCAAAAGATTACTCTCCAGGTAAATCACCCTGCCCCCCCCCCCCCCCCCGATATTACGTGCCTGTTTGACACATTTAGGGAAAATTATTTTTTAAAATTACACTTAATCAAAATGAAACATACCTTTTTTGCAATCAGGCTGATGAAGTTAAAATTTCAGCAAAAAAATTGAAATCAAGATAATCAATCATGCAGTGCTTTTAAATAATGTGCATAAGACAAGAAAAAATGTATCCTTTATGACCTATACAAATACAAATATTTTATTGGCACAAACACAATTACAGTAATTGGTAAAGGCCCATACAGAACATATTAATAAGCATAATAATACAGTAGAACACAACTAGAATACAAACAATCGGTGTAGCAAATAATGTAGTGTACTCATCCGATACTAAATAATTCATAACAATGTAGTTACTCATTTATAGCTAAAACATTTTTTTCTAATATCAGATATTTGACATAAAAATGAAGATAATATTTTAAGAACCCTATATACAAAGTTAGTATATAAGTCCCTGCATTAAGTAAAGTTTTTTTGAAGTTTGATTAATTCAAGATCAAAAGCAATTCGAAAACTAAAAGCTGATATAAGGGAAATACCATGATTAAAGGAAAAGGATGAACATATCCCGCAACCAAGGAAAACAAAAGAAACCGGAAGAGAAGTCGAACCACACTACATTGTACAATAGTTATTCGACTGTTAGCCATTCCACTTTTTGAATTATCATCAAGTATTTATAAAACACAAATTTATATTGTATTTTGCTTTTCATGATATAATCTTGTTGATGAAAATCATTTGGATTAAGCACTAAGCAGGCAGCATGAAACACTCGTAATTTTTTCTTAAAAGGTTACGTAAAAGTCCGAGTAGTTGCGATTGGTGACAAACTTTACACCAGAGAAAATGCTGGCGAATGTGCAATTTCTTCAGACTACTAGGTAAAGAAATGATTAATTACTCGACAGTACATATTAAGAAAGTCTATGTCATGCGTAAGCAATTTTTTTTTTGCATGTTCAGATGTTAAAATAACTGTTGTTCCCCAATTGTTCAACTCGAGTTTCCTCAACAGAGAGCTGAGTGATTGCATCAGAAGCTCGCACAATTTGTATTTCAAATATGTTTTTTATTTATTTGACAGAAAATAATCACGTAATTTCAGGAATGTATGATATGATTTTGTGGTTTTGTTACGTAAAGGCAGGGACCTGGTAGAGGTTGATAAACATGGCACTATGTGATTTGTTAAACTTGTTTTTTCTTGCAGGAATGCCCTTTCATTATGCAGAAGTGCCCTTCTCAACTTGACAACTGGAGTAAAACATGCATCTATTGTTGATTTTCAAAGTCGTCACATACAATCTTTATCTTCAAGTTTCTGGGGATGTCAAAGAAGGAACAACTGCTGTAATGTCGGGCAGAACAATTTACTGGCTGAACCATGCTCTACTTCTGTAAACCAGGTGCGATTTCTAAAACAACCACAAAACCCAAGGAAGAAACTAAGATATCCATACTACAAATATAGATTCAGTGGCTGGAAAAGAATTCACAAGTTTGGACTTGAAGCAAGGCTGTCCAGTATTTCTCAGAAAGAAATTCTATGGAAAAGAATCATCAAAGGAAGATCAACTCTCACAGTCTGTGATCGACTGTTTGATCACAGTAACTGGACAGTCCCAAACAGACTAAAGGGCAACTTAATGAAAGTAGGAAAGAAAAATAACTATCCACTGTATTCTTATAAACCTCCTGTATACAAATTTAGAGATTAAATGGAATATAATGGTCAGTTTTTCTTTTGTTTGTTAGAATTACATGTTATTAGCTCTACTGGTCAGAGACCAGAAGAGCTTATGCGATAGTAAGGTGTCCGTCGTCCATCCGTCTGTCTGTCCGTCCATCTGTAAACAATTTTTCAAAATGCTACTCCTCCTACAGTTTTGGTCTGATTTCAATATAACTTGGCACACAAGTAGACTACACTAAGATACATAATTCTTTGTATCAGTTTTTGATTTCGATGAACAGTGTTGCCATGGTTACTAAAAATAGAAATTTCTGTGAAAAACATTCAAAATGCTACTCCTCCTACAGTTTTGATCTGATTTCAATATAACTTGGCACAAAAGTAGACTACACTAAGATACATAATTCTTTATATCGGTTTTTGATTTCGATGAACGGTGTTGCCATGGTTACTAAAAATAGAAATTTCTGTGAAAAACATTCAAAATGCTACTCCTCCTACAGTTTTGATCTGATAAGTGATTTCAATATAACTTGGCACACAAGTAGACTATACTAAGATGCATAATTCTGTGTATCGGTTTTTGATTTCGATGAACGGTGTTGCCAAGGTTACTAAAAATAGAAATTTCTGTGAAATACTTTCAAAATGCTACTCCTCCTACAGTTTTGATCTGATTTCAATATAACTTGGCACACAAGTAGACTATACTAAGATGCATAATTCTGTGTATCGGTTTTTGATTTCGATGAACGGTGTTGCCATGGTAACTAAAAATAGAAATTTCCTTGAAATACTTTCAAAATGCTACTCCTCCTACAGTTTTTATCTGATTTCAATATAACTTGGCACACAAGTAGACTATACTAAGATACATAATTCTGTGTATCGGGTTTTGATTTCGATGAACGGTGTTGCCATGGCTACTAAAAATAGAAACTTCTGTGAAATACTTTCAAAATGCTACTCCTCTTACAGTTTTGGTCTGATTTCAGTATAACTTGGCAAACAAGTAGACTACACTAAGATACATAATTCTTTATATTGATTTTCTGATATCGATGAACATTGTTGCCATGGTTACTAAAAATAGAAATATCCTTGAAATACTTTCAAAATGCTACCCCTACAGTTTTGGTCTGATTTTAGTATTACTTAGTACACAAGTAAACTACACTAAGATACATAATTCTCTGTACCAGTTTCGGATTTCGATGAATAGTGTTGCCATGGTTAGTAAAAATAGAAATTTTCTAGAAATACTTTCAAAACGCTACCCCTCCTACACTTTTTGTCTGATTTCAGTATAATGTGGCATACAAGTAGACTACAGAGATACATAATTGGTGTTAGTGTTTTTTGATTTTGTTGAATGATGTTGCCATGGTTACTTAAATCAAAATTTCTGTAAAATTGTTCTAAAAGGCTACTCCTACTACAGTTTTAGTCTGATATAATAATAAATCTTGCCACAAAAGAGACTAAACCAAGGATCATTATTCTATTTATTGCTGTTGCAAAGTTTCAAGTCCAAGTGCTACTTTTATCTTCCTTTATAAATACAACCAGTAGAGCTACAGTCTCGTCAGAGACTTCTGGTTACAGAAATGAAATTAATTTTTGAGAATTCATGAGGACATGAACTATGACGCTTCACAAAGGCATATTTCAAGCGTGTCAGCGCTTCATGATAAATATGCAGGCGTGAAGCATAATTATGATACTGAATGATAAAAGTTATGATACTGAATGTCTGTAAGGCCAAAAAAAAAAATAATGGTCTTGTTAAAAATTATTTTATTTTTTTATTTTATTTTTTTCAACGATATTTTTTTGGATATGAACTAATTCAAAACCAAATTAAACATGTCATAGCTCAATATTATCTTTTAAAATTAAATTTCATGTCTTTTGATGCACAACTCAAGTGGTATTTTATGAAAGTCCATATTTAAAACATACAATTTCATGAAATACCACTTGAATATATATATATATTTTTTTCAATTTTGGAACTCGAAATTCCTGATTTTTTTTCCCAAAACTAAAAAAACTTTAGAGTCAGGTGCAAAAAAATAGGGTTGGTCAGGAAGCAGGAAACAAGACTATTATTTTTTTTGGCCTAATGACAACTATAGTCATCCTCTAGTCAGGAGCATACATAATACTTGGTTTGATTTCTGTCAGACCTCAATGTCACTAGAGGTAATTTACTTCTTCAAGGTTACCAGTGTACTAAATTTAATGTCTCTAAAGCAAATGGTTTTCAACACTCACCTGACAATAATATCTTCCTCTGTCTACTGTCTATTGTTTGACTTTTTGACTGCAAAATCAATAGGGGAACCCAAAGAGGAACCAGTGTACCAAGTTTGATGTCCATCAAGCAAAGGGTTTTCAAGATATTGAATGGTCAATATTTTCCTATATTCAGTTTTACCCTTGACATTGTGACCCTAAAAAATAATAGGAGTCATCCAATCCTTAAGGGAACCATTGTACCAAATTTAAGGTGTGTTATATTGAGTGGTCAGTATCTTCTTATGCCCAGTTTGACGTTTGATCTAATGTGACCTAATCAATTATAGGGGTCATTTATTCTTAGAGGAAACCAGTATAGTCGAAGTTTGATGTCTGTCAAGCAGGGTCCTCAAAATATTGAGTGGACAACACCTGGTCTATCAATATAAAGTTAAAATATTATATATGGCCATAGAAAAATAGTGTTTTCTCTATAATGTATACCTTTTGAGGCACGATAGGATGGTAACTGATGCTTGATCACCAACTGTGGCCCCATCCTACCCTTGGGGGTCCTGATTTGAACAAACTTGAATCTACAGTATGTATGAAGCTTGCATGCAAGTTTCATCTTTTCTGGTCCAGTGGTTCTTGAGAAGAGGATTTTCAGAAGATGCTATTAAATTTTCCCTAATTCTTAATTATCTCCCCTTGAAAGAGGGTTTGACCCTTCATTTGAACAAATGTTGCAAGTGGTTTGCAAGTTTGGTTGAAATTGGCTCAGTGGTTCTTAAGAAGAAGTCGAAAGTGTGAAAAGTTTACGACGAAGCCATGCAATGACAACAATAGACAATGGACAAAGAAACTGGGTGAACAAGGCAAGCAAAATGCCTATTGTGTGACAAATATGAAAGTGAAAATATTAAATCTCAACAAGCAAACTCAAAGAATTGTGATCCCCCACAGTGAGTTCCAGTGTCTTAGTGGTTAGGATGCAATTATATAGGGCATATTGTAACTGTCTTGTTTGTGTTTCCTGTCTTGTCTATGCATCATACCAAAAAAATTTAATTATTGAAGAAATAGATATTGCAAAGATTAAAACTTCTCGAAACTGCATCAAACTCAAATATAATACTATCTGAAAGATCTTGTCACAAGTAATGCACATGTGAAAAAAAAAATGAAAACCTTACCTCTTCTGAATCAAAAGTTACAGCCAAGGTTAAAATTTTTGATAAGTTATTAAAAATTATAGGTCAATGTCATGAAGTCAAAAATAATATATCATTCTGAAAGGTGTTGCCATAGGTAATGTGCATGTTAAATATGAAAGCCCCATCTTCTCTTATTCAAAAGTTATTTGAGAAAGACTGTGTAGGTCAAACTTGAAGGTCAAGGTCAGGGGGTCAAATATCATAGCACATTCAGAAACTTCTTGATACAGGTAATGTACATGTCAAATATGACTGTCCTGTCTTCTTTCATTCAAAAGTTATACCTAATGTGAAATTTTTTGAAAGTTAGGTCAAACTTCAAGGTCACGGGTCAAAAATCATGTTACAGTTGGAAAGGTCTTGTCACAGGCAATGCACATGTAAAATATGAAAGCCTTATCTTTTCTTATTCAAAAGTTATGACCAAGGTTAAAGTTTTTGTGACAGTCTGACAGACCAATGAGTTTTAATGTCCCTTTGCAAAAGCGGGGGGCAGAAATAAATCACCATAATTCTATACATGTAGAAAACTATAAAATAAAAAAGACATGGTACATTTAGTCACAGTGCAACTTTAAACTGTCTTGAAGTCCAACGGGTAGGGTTAACCTTAAGTCCAAAAAAAGAGTTCTGGGTATTGTCCCCCACTTTTGCAAAAGCGAGGGGACATTAAATTTCAATCGTCTGTCAGTCTGTCACAAAATCTTTAACTGTGGTCATAACTTTTAAAAGAGAAGAGAGAGGGCTTTCACATTTTACATGTATATTACCTGTGACAAGACCTTTCCAAATACACTATAATTTTTTACCCTGTGACTTTGACCTTGAAGTTTGACATACTTTTCAAAAATTTTATCTTTGCTTATAACTTTGACATGTGCATTACCTGTGACAATTAAGACCTATCCAAATATATGTGATTTTTGACCCCTTGACTTGAAGTTTGACCTACTTTTCAAAAATTTAAACACTACTTTAACCTTGGTCATAACTTTTGAATGAGAAGAGATAAGGCTTTCATATTTTACCTGTACATTACCTGTGACAAGACCTTTCCAAATACACTATAGTTTTTGACCCATGACCTTGAAGTGTTAACTACTTTTCCAAAATTTTATCTTTGCTTAGAACTTTTGAGAACAGATAGGGCTTCCATATTGACATGTGCATTACCTGTGACAGGATGTTTCCGATCATGCAATAGTTTTTGACCCCTTGACCTTTATGTTTGACCTAATTTCAAAAATTTAAACTTTGGTGATAAACTTTTGAATGACATATGATAGGGCATTCATATTTGTCAAGTGTATTATCTTTGTCAAAATGTTTCTACAAGTGGTACTATGATGTTTGACCCCGGGACCTTTGCCTTCAAGTTTGACCTAATTTTCAAACATTTTATCAGTGTTGCTAACTATTGAAGGAGCGAAGATAAGGCATTCATATTTGACACATACTTTACCTGTGACAATTAAGCATTTCCAAATGTACGATGTTTTTTAACCCCATGATCTTGACCTTGAAGTTTGACCTAATTTTAAAAAAAATTTACATTGCTGATGACTTTTGATTGAGATAAGTTAAGGTATTTACATTTGAGATGTATATTACCTGTTTCAAGACCTTTCCGATTGTATACTCTGGTTTTTGATATTTTTTTCACATGTATTACCTGTGTCAAAATCTTCGGATTGTATTATGATATTTGACCCCATGATCTTGATCTTGAAGTTTGATGTAGTTTAAATTTTGAGAAACTATAATCTTTGCCATAACTGTTATTGATTCAATAATTTATGTCTTTTTTGTATGATGCACAGACAAGACAGGACACACAAACAAGACAGTTACAATTTGCCATTAATAATGGCATCCTACCCACTTAGACACCGGAAGTGGGGGACCATAATTCTTTGAATTTGCTTGTTAGTTTATAAATGCCATGTCTCACTCTCTGTCTGTTTATTCATCTGTATGTCCAGGCCATCTTTAGAAAAAATCATTTGTTTGCCCTCTCCTGACAGATTGACTAAAATTGGCCTGACTCAAAACTTCTTTTAACCTCCAGGAAACAATCATTTTTCTTTAAGCCCCCATAATCAAAGATTCAGGGGCATATAGTTTTTGCCCTGTCCATCCGTCTATCTGTCCACAAAAACTTTAACCTTGCCCATAACTTTGGATTGGTTGGAGCTTTGGCTTTCATATTTCACATGTGTATTTCTTTGTGACAAGACCTTTCTTTGGGTACCATAATATTTGACCTTGACCTTGGAGTTTGACCATGTTTTGCAAACTTTTACAAAAAACTTTAACCTTGGCCATAACTTGTGAACAGTTGGCACTAGGGCTTTAATACTTCACATATGTAATCCTTGTGACAAGACCTTACTTTGGATACCAGAAACTTTGACCCTTTGACCTAGGAGTTTGACCTACTTTTGAAAAACTAGTACCTTAGCCATAACTTTTGAACGGTTGGTTCTAGGGCTTTCATACTTCACATATGTAATCATTGTGACGAGACCTTTCTTTGGATACCACCAATTTGACCTAATTTTGGAAAACTTTAACCTTGGCCATAACTTTTGAACAGTTCGTGCTAGGGCTTTCATACTTCACATGTGTATTCCTTGTGACAAGACCTTACTTTTGATACCAACAACTTTGACCCTTTGACCTTGGAGTTTGACTTACTTTTGAAACTTTAACCTTGGCCATATAACTTTTTATTGATTGATTGTATGTTGTTGTATGTCCCATTCGAGAATTTTTCACTCATTTAGAGACATCACCATTTACTGCTGAGGGGCTTAAAATTTAGACCTTTACTTGGCACTCAGGGCCATTGAGCAGTGAGGGACCTTTATCGTGCCACTGCCTGCCATGAAATGGGGCCTTGGTTATTAAGATCTCTTCCAAAGGACCTGCAACTTTCACTTCAATGTGCCAAGTGCTTGGCTAAGGAACAGTTGCTACCAATTTTTTCTTATCAACTTAGATCAGTTGCAGCCAAGATTTGAACTCACGACCTACCGATCACGGAGCGAGCGCTCTCTACCAACTTCACTTAGCCTACCATGTCGGTACCATAACTTTTGAATGGTTGGTGATAGGGCTTACATATATGTCATGTGTGTATTTCTTGTGAGAAGGGCACCACTTTCCTTGGGCACCATTAATTTTGACCTTGAAGTTTGACATACTTTTGAAAAACTTTAACCTTTTCTATATCTTTTCCATAGTTGATGCTAGGGCTTTCATATTTCACAGGTATATTCCTTGAGACAAGACCTTGCTTTAGGTACCAACATATCTGATTTGCATTTGAGAAAGTTTAACCTTTGCTATAAGTTGCCATATTGTTATTTCATATGCTAGTAGTTGTTATTCATTCATAATTTTCTCATTACATTAATAAGTATTTTAACTTCATATTCACATTTTGTCAAGTGTTTTTAAAATAGAGATTTTGCCCTATCTACCAACCCAATTTTTTTTAACCTGAGTTGGGAAAGGGCAAGCAAACGTTTGTTTAAAGATGGTACCATGGGTAAAAAATTAATTTCAATTAATTAATTTAAAAATTAAATTGAAATTGATTTAATATAAATATATTGAATTTCAAAATTTGTTATCTCACAATTTTACCAAATCTAGCTTGATTACAACTGAAAATTATCTCTGGATATTTATTTGATGTATACATTGTAGTAAATTGAAATAAATGCTACATCAGGATCTTTTATGCTTCAGTGACTTGTCAAGGGACACATGTATATGCTCTTATCAGCATCAGATGCAGCATCTATCTACATGTACTTGTTTATTTTATACTTTCAGTGTTTTTGGTCCTAAGCATTGTTTTAAATTATTGCAAGCAATATACATTCAACTTCTGCACACTTTTACAAAGGAAGTTTTGTCAAGAGCATAATTTTGATGTTGCATTGTACTTGTACTCTACAGAAGCAAATATTAGATTTTGATCTTTTCAAGCATATCACAAGTGATATACCAAACATACTCATTTAGTGCAGCTTCAGTCTCCGTGGTATTTGAAGTACAAATTGAATATCCATTACACAGAGAATTTAAAGAGAGCAAATTTAAACAATACACTTATAAAGATAAAAATATGATTTATGTAATGTCTAAATCAATAAATGAGGGTGAAATATTTTAACTGAAATTCTAGCAGGCTACCAGTTGGAGTATAAATACCTGTATGTTCTGTAGAGAAAAGATGCATTTAAACAAAATATGTGGTTTTATTTTCACATGCAAACAAATATATAATTAGCTTTCAGTGCATAATTTACCTACAAATATCTTATTTTCTTTCTTTCTCAAATAAAAGCATTTGATCCTTCAAATGCTTAGTTTGGAAACCTGATCATGAGTCACAAATAAAATAAAAATATGCAAAAAAAAAAAAGAAAAAATAAATAAATGAAATAAATAGCTGAGGTACAATTCCCAGATTCAAGATTTTTTTATGTTAACAAACATTGATTCACCAGTAATTTTAAATTTTTTCCCTTCTGTACCTCAGTACATAGTAAGGCACAACTGACTGAAATGTGGAATTTTGCTAAAATATACAACCTAAATATATAGTTAAATCACTAACATTTTCTTAAATAAGGTACATGTATCTGTCAATTAGATTTAACACCAATATATATCCAATTCAAAACATGCAATACTATAAAAGCAGGCATACTGTAGACATGCATGTAAACTGCATAACACTGTATATTGTACTATAACTAATTTGTAAAAAGCTGCATTTTGTACAAATTTCATGAATAGTACATAGTACATATTTAATATTTATAAAATATTTAAGCACTTTGTACAAAATGAATGGTAAAGTGTCATGTAATTTCACAATTAACATTTATCTTCATCCAACACTTGTAATTTCATAATAAGTACTCATATGATAATCTGTGATCTACAAAGACCGATTCACAACAAACAATGTCTCTCTGTTAAAAACAAAAAAAAAACCCACAATGTTGCATCCTATTTTTAACACCATGATGTGCATATACAGGAAAAGTTACTTTTATAACTTTCAACATAAGGAATGGATTGTTTTTCCCCAATGTTCAATAGAGATAGTATTGGAAAGAAGAAAATAAAGGTCGGCCCAATATAATCACAAGGTCTCTGTATCTGTGTTTTCTGTGTTTGTGTTAAGCTTCGCACTTTCACTTGTTTCATCATACTTCTGAAGATGAATCTACAAAAAAAAGTAACGTAAAATGAAACAAAAACTGTAGAAAAAATTTGCATCTCATAAAAGAAATTTGTAACAGATACTGATCATATTTCTTTTGTTTATCAAAGTATGTAGAACCTGATCTGGGAATTACAATATCTTTATCAAAATGTTTTTATCGTGGCTAGTAGAGCAGTTTAAATGTTATATTTAAACAGAAAAAATAGCCTCCTATCTTTGCTACTATCAAAAGTAACACTGTACAGAAAGCTTATCAGCATCTTAGATTACCACAAAATAACCATCTGTAGATTTACTGTGCCATGTTCAACTGACATTGTACTGTGCCGTGTTCATCTGACATTGTACTGTGCCGTGTTCATCTGACATTGTACTGTGCCGTGTTCATCTGACATTGTACTGTGCCCATGTTCAACTGACATTGTACTGTGCCCATGTTCAACTGACATTGTACTGTGCCATGTTCAATTGACATTGTACTGTGCCGTGTTCAACTGACATTGTACTGTGCCGTGTTCAACTGACATTGTACTGTGCCCATGTTCAACTGACTTTGTACTGTGCCTTGTTCAACTGACATTGTACTGTGCCAGGTTCAACTGACATTGTACTGTGCCCATGTTCAACTGACATTGTACTGTGCCCATGTTCAACTGACATTGTACTGTGCCTATGTTCAACTGAAATTGAAACTATACATGTACCTAGGAAAAAGACAAGGGAAGTTTACCTGAATAAATATATTAACCTCTGCACTTCTACTTAGATATGGAAAGTTACCACCTGATTTCAGGTGAGCTCGTTTGGCATCCGGGTAACATTTGTACATCTCCTCTCTCACAGCATGAGACAACGCACAGTCATCAAACACCTGAAATAACCTCACATTAATAGTAACATTTGTTTCAGAATAATTTACAACTATAAAAGAAGTGTTTGCTACATGCAAGTATAAAGACAAGTGATGCACAAGTGATTCAAATTGATTAAAACTGACTTTCATTGTCAGATGAAGGATATGTACGTAAGTGAGTTTAGGCTAGTTATGGGTTTCTATGCAAATAAGCTAATTAAAAAACTAAAGAGGTGGATTTATTATACGGAGAAGGTTTAAAATCACTTTCTATTTAGTACATAACACCCATGACATTTTATGGCCAATGCACATCATGATGTCATTGTACATGTCCTTTACTGCTTGATAATAAAAATAAACATCATCAACAAAACAACTTTAGCACAAGGCCAAAGCGTATTTACAAGAAAGTAAGTTTAATCCTTCTCTGTACTATAGAGAAAATTTTATGTGTTTTAATTAAATCACATGCATAGAATGTCCATACCTGGCTTTAACTTACTTGTGTGTTCTCTAATATCTACTTACATCCATAATAGTCACATCTACGCCTTGGAGTTTCTGAGGTTCTACATAACAGTTCATACAATTTAAGGTAAGTCTAGAAGCCAATTCAGACTGACTCAAACTGTCAAGCTGCAACCAAAACAGAAATCTCTTGCATAAAGATTTATAAAAAGGATATACATCAAAACTTAAAAAAAAAAAAAAACAATTAAGGGACATGTTTTCAGTTGCTCAAAAATCTGTGATATCTTGATTTTAAGATTATGCAGTATATGTATTTGTAAAGATTGATATTTAATTGTTTTTTGTTGTGTTTTTTTTTTGTTTTGTTTTTGTATATTTTTTTCATTTTATTATTTTCAAATTCAGCATTAAAAACAGATAGACATGTATCAATAAAATTACCCTCTCTACAAGAAAATCAATGGAATCACATATATCACTGTCCACAAAGCCTCTGTCAAAGTTTCCCATCACCATTTTCTTAAGAACTAGGGCTGGCATCATCCAAAACCTAAAAGATATGTACACACTGTTTTACAGCCTAATATTTTAACTCACTGGTCCACAGGACCATATAAAGACTTTTACTTGCTGGTCCTGTACCAGCTAGATCTGTGCTTCCTATAGGTGACTCATGATATCGGTAAATAAAGTACCGGTATCAGAGGATTTAAATTGCAAAACCTGCCTTTTTTTAACTTGCATAACAGACAAACAAATTTTTTAATTAATTGATCCTCCTGAATATTTGTCAGTCTCTGCCGCTAAGGTATAACTGTAATATGTACATGTATAAGAAAATTCAACTAGGTTAAAGAAAGGACAAGATAGGCTAAGACCCCTTTTTGGTCCCTGGTTTGGAGTGTCTCTAAGAACGATGCAATAGTTCATCATTAAAAACCTGTAGTCATCTCTGATACAAAATGAGAATTGATTGTAAGTTATGGGATACATAAAGGTCACAGGAAGATCACAAAGTATGCCAATTTTCAAATTTTCCTTTTTTTCCCTTCTTTTTTGCAAATTTTGATCAATTTTAAAGCACAATGTTTCTGAAAACACAAGCTTGCCTATCAACCAAATTTAAATATTTCATGCACAAGTACCAGATGCATCTTGTGTATAAAAATCTCAGATAGACCAGCTTGTGGTTTATATTTACCAAAGTAAGAAGAATCTCAAATTGACAAAATTCCACCAGAATTGAAGAAATTTGGTAAAATGTCTTACTTTGGCACCCTCTTGTGGCCTCCGTATATGCTTTGAATCAAAATTATTGCAGATTTTAAAACAAGCAACATTTCTTAGGTTCTAAGGTTCTTAATTGCAAACTCTGACCACAATTTCAACTGTGATTTCATTTTTACATAAAATTAGAGGCCAAATTTGGCTGTAACCATACCTTGTCCCTTATCTTATTGATATTTCTTTTCAATCTTTTTTTTTTGTCTACTTACGTTGGGGCTGAGTTAGTTTGGTTGAAAATAGTAGTATCATAGAATGCATTGCACAAGATAAGGGAAATCACTCTAGGAGAACGATGTGTGAACTCGGCAAACTTCTGAGCAAGGAACCCCCCTAATGAGGTCCCAAATATATGAACCTAGAAAAAAAGATAATAAAAACACAGATTGTAACTTTACACTTTCACTTAAACACCAAACACTTACATGCAGAAGTTTAGCATTACCTTCTCTAAAAAATGCCATATTTCTAAATATACCAAAAAGCCTTTGATACATGTACCTTATCAAAAAATTCAAGCCTTTAAATTATATATTAGAGTAGTATTCAGTGTGTGTTTACATTCTCATTCATTCTTTCAAAAGTTAGCTTGCTTGTTTCTCAAAAACACCTTTACCTTATCCAATTGCAAATGGTCTAAAAGCTTTTTGAATCCATCACAAAACTCTCTCATTGTCCAGTATGTGGGATACTCAACCTATAAAAATTTCAAAAATTTATATGAATTATAAAAATTTTCTCATGTTTTTTAAATAATAGAACAAATAAGAACTTAACCTCTCTAAAATCTGACAATAACAGATTTCTTACAGATATAACCCTGTATCCTACAGCTGACAGGGCCAGAAGCTGTTTGAAGAAGACATCTGCGGTCCCACTAGCTGGAGGAAAACAGATCAGGGGACACTTCACTTGTTTGGGACCCGCATCATAGAGTTTCCATTCCTTACTCTCATCATCATCAACAATGTACTGCAGAATTAAAAGTCCTTAATTTTTATTATTACCTTTGGGTACTTTGTGTTTGCATAAATAAATGTTCTAAAAGAGAGAAACTTTTTTTAATTTTTGCCTAAGAGTGCTCTGTTATTTTTGTTATTGTTTCAGTATCTCTACATAAGACAGAGCTTGCTAACTCGGAGACTTTGGTCATCTCAAGGAACATCACTAAAACTCATTTCTTACCATAAGTTTCCAAAATTAAACTAGACGCACTGTGAGCACTGAGCTCACGAAAAAGATACCCCCTTACTCCCACATGAGTCTAATGGCAAAGTCCATGTTTTGCTAAGGGAAACCCCAAACATATCTGTCCAATCAAAATATAAAATAGGAGGTGCACAATGACACTGTATAATAAAGATTCTGGAAAAGTCTCGTTAAATTTTATGCAGTGGTATAGGAGGAATTGTGGATAAGAGATAATGTTACAGAAAGAATGACAGAGTCCATGTTTTGCTAAGGGAAACTCCAAATACATGTACCTATTTCATCAAAACCTATAGGAAGTGCACAACGGCACTATGTAAAAAAGATTTTGTGAAAGTCTCAGTAAATTTTATTCAGTGTTATAGGATGCATTGCTGATGGGTACCCCCAATATTATAGAAAGAATGGCACAGTCCATATTATGCTATGCGAAACTCGAAAAATGTGTGAATAAAACATAAAATAGGAGGTGCATAATTGGCACTATATGTAAAAAAAATTCTGTGAAAGTCTCATTAAATTTTATTCAGCAGTGTAGGAAGCGTTGCAGATAAAGGATGTGCACCTTCAAGCGTAATGACCAGCGGACAGACAGATAGATGGACATCCCCATCACTATATAGTCCCTGCTTTTCAAGTGGTGGGGGTATAACGAACCAGTGCAGTAATATAGCTCTACTACAGATACTACTGTATACTTGTGTACTTCTGGGTTAGTTAAAGTGTGAATTGAAACCTTAGATTGTTCAATGATAATATAGTAAAAAATTTGATTCTAAAATACAAAAGATAATAAAGACTTAACAACAGTTGATGAATTGTCCATCAGGGAAAGCACTGACTCTCCTTGTTTATATATTATTCTTTATTTTGGTTGTGTCTTGATAACTACTGGGTATTTAATTGTTAGCAAAAATGTTGGTCTCCAAATTTTATGGAAGTTTGGAAACTGAAATTATTAATTCAAAGAGATTCTCGTGTCCCAGAGGAACTCCACAAGCTTGACTATATCAAGCCTATGCTATCCATTTCTCTAAACAGAGCAATCATGGATATGAAATAATTTGCCTATGTAGTATGTAAATTGTAAGTCAGTTCACTCAGTTGAAGTTGGTTTTGGTTCATTGGTGTACAATTTGACTGTGAAGATTCTACAAATCAAACCAATGAAACAAATGTAGCTCTGTCATCAACTTCTTAATAGCAAGCGCAGGGAAAATTTGGACTGTGCACATTGATCCAAATGAATTTTTTCTGCAATAGCCTTTGGACCCACAATCCTTTGCAAAGTGCATCTCGCAGCAAACTCCTTTTTCACATTCACGACAAAAGTTAACCAAAAAATAAACTCACCTTGATTTAACATTTGTTTCATAAACATTACAGATAGATAGTAAATTAAATGTTCTTTGATAAAAATTTGCACTTTTCAGACTTTGTTATGGAAATGCAATGATTTGCCAATTAACATTCAATATCATGTGACATCACAGTCTAGACCTTCCAAACGTCTCATGTGGTTTGAAGAGGCAGATCCAAGTTAAAAGTGAATAGGTATTTAGTTATACACAACTCCACTCGCCTCCACAGTCGCATATTATCCTCTTTCCTTGTGCTAAATTACAAACAACACACATATATTTTAGGACATATCCATATTACTCAAAAAAATACTTACTGTTTTCAGTGGTACAGAGCTACGGAAGCTCTGATATTCTTGAGAATTGGATATCACTGATTCTGTCATTTTGTTGAACACTGGTTATTTTATCATTTTTCATTGAACGTGCTATGGCTCTAAAACGATAGACACACAATGTTGTGAACTTTGATTGACTCAGAAAATACTTGTACATAATAGCACAGAAAAATACAGTTTTTAGAAGCTAATGCGTGATTCTCAATAAGCTTGTTAACACATTGTAAACAATATACACTCATGTAAACAGCAAATTTGATATCATCTATTGCACGTGAAAAACGTTTTCTCTGTTTTCTTATTTGTTTACTTGTCGCATCTATTTAAAGACATAGCATATACAATTAACTGTTGAAAAGTTATTGACAAAATATACATATGTAAATAAATATCAAGTTCCTCCTTCCAGACTTCCTCAAACTTACCGAACGTCATAGTCTTGTCACATGATCAAGGCTCCCGAGCCCGAATGTAATTCAAGGTTCCACTCATCCAGACGTTTAACAACCTCATCAAAGCACCTGAATGATTGAGACTAAAAGTTACCATAGATACTTCTCTTGAGTATCTAAACCCGCCATAAATCGAATTGATCGTGGGATATATTATTAATTCCAAGCCTAAAAGATAATTTTGAGACTAGCAGAAACAAGATACACTTCCATCCGAGTATCTACACCTGCATATTGAACATATTTCAATAGGATACTATTTGAAATGCCAGAAGTTGAGAAAAAGCCACTTGTGATGATAGCTGCGAGAGAAAGAGGTACGTAATAATTCTTATTGTTAACCTTTATTATATGAATAAGACTTTATCAAACAGTACAGTTTTGTTTTGAAATTAAACGAGAAATAATTGGAGGCTGTCGCTCTTTGGGACGTATGTATTCTTTACCTGATTGTGATTTGAAGAAGTGAAATAGTTTTGGGTCATTGTGTATTTGTCTTTCGCATTCATTGATTGATACAATCGAGTGTCAAATTAAGAGTCACAAAATGGCTGAAGTGATAGGTAGAGAGCTGAAATAGTGGGCATTATTCATGGCCATATATATATCTTCAAATCCAATAAAGGACAGGTAACTACCCCCACATTATGCAAAATTTAAAACTTCACAAATGAAAAATCTAGGTTTGTTTGTAGTTGCAGAACTGTAGCTCTGTGCTTGAGAAAATTCGGAATATCTGTCCGAATTTTCTCAAGCAGAGAGGCTAGAGCTACAGTTCTGCACTCTACAGCTAGTGTGTGTGATACATGACTTGTGAGTCAGGTGACTTTTAATTTGACACATGAGTGTAGTTGATCTCCACGCCTAATCACATGGACCAAGCCTTTTTTTTTTAACCGAAAGTAATATTTTTTCTTCATAATATTAAAACATGATTTGGTTGCAAAAAGACCTTAGTCCCTGTGGTGTGTGCATCTAGTGATCTAACCTCACTTCCCCTTGAACTGCCCCCCCCCCCCCTTTAAGCATCAAGTTTCAGTCGTTTGAAGTTTCTCATATTTATGGGATCTTCAGTGTTTTGCTAATGTAAATTACAGGTAATAATTGATTGAACATCTTGCACTCAGAGGCATTGCTAGCTGACAAAAGATAAGACTTAATCCTTAAAAATATCATTTATAAAATCTGATACTTTATCCTTGGAAAAGATGTCACAAAATCAAAACTCCAAGGAAAAGTGAGTGTGTGTTGGGGAGTAAGATGGCTCTCATATTATATGTAATAAGTGTTCTATTTGAAGACACAGGCCTATAGAATAGAATATTATATCCAAATTAGGGCCTCATGGCCGAAACAAGTCTTGGATCCCGGCCATGATTTCTGCAATTCCCGCCAACTACGATATATCTCGAGTCAAGTGTATATTGTAAATACATTTACTTTGCATCTTTGGGCAATTTCTTTACTAATGGACATCAAGCAGGAAAAATGTTTACATTATCAGGCCCCAAAGTGAAATTTAATTGGTCATAAATTGTGAAGGTAATGAAAACAGTATTCATCTCAAAAGTCCAATTAAACGGTACGAATTTTGAGCAGAGCAAACACAGACCTCTGAAAATATTAGGTGATCAGAACGAGTAAACATCCCCTGTCGACCGGTCATACTCGCCGTGAGCCCTTCAGGTTTTGATTGGGTTAACAGAGGAATCCGTAGATAGTCACTATGAAAACAATGGCCTAACAATTTGTATGAAAAATTTCAGTCAACATTCGACCTAATGTTAGATTGTATTTGCTAACAAGGTGCATGTATCGACCAGAAAATTTGCGAAATGTTGACTTTAAACGAGATTGTTGATACTTATGATCATCAACTTATTTGTAAGTAGCCTGACTCGTATTAGAAATTGTATATACAACATGCTCTTGTGTATCGAATAAACTGGGATACATAAAAACCATATTCAGGTGATAATGGTATTTTGCTACACGAATAAGGGAAGTTGACGATAGAAATGTTGATGTCATCGTGATCGCATTTATCATTAAGTTTAGCTTTAAGTTTGCCATCAGTGCTTTTCTCAAGTAAAACACCCAAATAGGAAATAGATATTTCTTACTCTCTGGAGTCTTTTATTTCGAGTTCAGTGGGATATATCGGATTAAACGTATGAAAAATGAATCAATGTATTGATAAAAAGTCGTCGGTATATCTAAATGTCGAATTGAAGGCCACGACAAGCTTCATAGGAATAAAACGTCTGCCACAGGTTTTATATATTGATATTTATCATACAATTGTATACCTCATCTTATATACGCCTGAGTTTCTAAGACAAGCTGCATGAATATGATATAATGATTAAAGATTCCTCACCAATTACATATATGTATTACTAGGCAATTAAAGAAACAAAATACAAGCACCTTTGTACAAAAATCAGAGAAATTAATGTGGAACTCCCATCCTTACATTTACCACTCATGCATACCAAGAATTCTACCCCAAAAAGGAGGGGATTCGAAGTTATTTGTTATACCAGCAGAAGGGAAATCCAGGTCTAAGAATACCCGCTGCTGGATCTGTCCATCCGGTTTTCACTAAAGTTACATGTACATTATTACCAGTAGGACACATACTAACTACATGTATTAGTATTACGTCATATACTCATCTTGCGAGTTAAGACGACGATTCTTATTATCGGCTGCAGGAGCGGTCGATCTATTTTTGGTTGTGTTAGAAAATGTACATTGAAAAATGAGAGGTTATTTCTGTATTAATTTGGTAAAAAAAAAATTTTTAATGATAATATGTATATTCAATATTATTAATAAAATATCTTAAAAACTTGCTTTAAACTAAGTCTCAATTTTTGTTATTATGTTTCAATTTATTTTCATTACTAAACAGATAATTATTTTATGAATTTTTAAAAAAGGGTTTACAAGATACTCCCCGGCATGGAAATGTGTAAGATATATTGAAAGCAAATTGTTATGATTTTCCGGATATTAAATAAGTAATGAATGAAAATTAAAATCTTGGTAAACTAGTAAAAATTTGTCTGAATGTGCAAAAAAAACCGTGTCAACATCATCTAGGAAGTATAGAAAGAACAGGCACGTAGTATCCTTTTTGGAAGGGACAGCTGGAAAAAAAAATGAAGAATTTTACAACTTACCTAAAATCTTTGACAAGCCAAACAAGAGACCCAAGGGCCTTAACGGTCACCTGAGTATAATACAATTTAGAGGATCCATAAAGTTATTAAAATATAAAATAAACTGATAGATGAAGCTTTGATGCCCAAAAGCAAGAGAAATAGGATGATCAGGATCAATGAAATAATTAGTCTAGTATTCATTAACAACTCATACATTAAATTCTAATCTATCTCCCATTTAGCACTGTTGCAATGCAGACAATTAACAAACTATTAGTTCTTCTGTACCACTTTTAATCCCATATTGTGACCTCTCACATTGGCCTCTCTTGGTCTTTGAAGAACATTTAATGAGACAAGTTATTTTTGTCTCATTTTGATTTTTTTATTATTTAAAAGTCTACCTGATCATTAAAACTATGAAAGTACTTTTTGTATTATACAATATCATTTTTTGCATAATTCTCTTAGTCTATTGACTTTCAATACATTATTTACAGTGATAAATTATCAAAAGTGAATGGCAAAGGGGAATAACTTATCTCAGTAGAATAAAAATTAATAGAGCGCTGGCCAGGACCAGAACACTTGACCAAATGGTCCTGATGTTCAAAAATGTGGTAAATATATCCTTGCTTAATAAAACTTTTATTCTGTTTGCCTTTGATTTGCCAAGGAGCAGAGAAGATTTTCAAAGAAATATTTTCACTACAGCTTCAACACAGCCCTATCCTAACACTAAAACCCATGTCCAAGGGTCATGAAATTCACAAATTTGGTAGAGGTGCCCCCATCATCATAACTATACACTTAGTTAAAGATTTTCAAAGAACACATTTTCACTATATTATCAATATAGCCCCCCCCCCTTCCCCCCCGCAAAACACCAAAGCCTGGGACCATAAGTTTTAAAAAAATTGTTCATCATAACTACGCACTTTGTTTATCTGCTCAACACTAAGGGGAAGACAGGGTTATTTAACATTATTTAACAGAAATAATGCAATTTCACTATATTATCAAAGAAATTATGCTTTTCACTATATTATCAATAGAGCCCCCCCCCCCCCCAAACGCTGGGGCCATGAATTTCACAATTTTGTAAAAGGTATCCTTGTGCATCATATCCATGCACTTAGTTTGTTTAAATAATACCCAGGAGCAGAGAAAAAGATTTTCAAAGAATTAATGCATTTTCACTATGTAATCAATAGAGCCCCATCCGAACACCATTTACACCAAAACCCCTGACCCAGGGGCCATGAAATTCACAATATTGGAAAAGACATCCTTGTGCATTATAACCATGCACCAAGTTTGTTTAAATAATACTCAAGAGCAGAGAAGAATATTTTCAAAGAATTAATGCATTTTCACTACATAGTCAATAGAGTCCCGCTCTAACACCAGAACCCCTGACCCAGGGGCAATGAAACTCACAATTTTAGAAAAGGCATCATTGCTTATCATAACCATGCTCTTAGTTTGTTTAAATAATACCCTGGAGAAAAGAAGATTTTCAAAGAAATAATGCACTTGAACTATATGATCTATATAGCCCTGCCCTAGCACCAGAATCCATGACCCTGGGGTCATGAATTTCACAATTTTGGTAGAGGGCCCAATGCTTAAAAATATTACAATCATGCCAACAATTTGACTCTTGGTGTCCAGGAGTAAAGAAGATTTTGAAAGATTGCATCAATTTTAGTGGTTTTAGCCCCACCCCTCAGGCCACAGGGGGCAGGGACCATGAAATTCAATTTTTGTTCCCCTTCACCCATAGATGCTATAAGCCAAAATTGGATGAAATAGGTTTAGCGGTTTTGGAGAACAAGTTGAAAATGTTCAAAAGTTAAAGCACGACGGACGAAAACAGATAATAGGTCACCTAAGTGACTCAGGTGACCTAAAAAAAGGGGGGGGGGGGTAGGACAACATTCCCAAAGTCGAATATCCTACTTCGTGAGGTTAGGTGTGGTCATTTTGCCCAGAACATTGACATGAATGGATTTCACAACAACAAAAATGGGGAGGGAGCAACCGACCTTTCAATGAACATTTCAAACAGTAAATATTTAGATTTTTAAAAAAGTGCCCCCCCCCCCCCCCCCGCTAAGTACTTGAAGAAAATGTGTGACCGGTGAACACATATACACACGAAAGAAACGATGAAACGGACTGCTACCCTCAAACATAAATTTTTGCAAAAGTATACTATCGGGTGTAAAAATACATGTACACAATACACAATTAAGAATTCTATTATACTATTCAATTCATAACTCGCAGTCTACTTTAATTGGAGTAATTAATTTTGTGGACCTAATGTAAAACATTTATAAAATTAAGATTTATGTATAATCTCAGCATTATTCTTTGAAACTTTAAAAAATGTACAGCGATTGAACGAAGCTAACATGCTTAATCCTGTTTTTAAATAACCGACCGTCTTCTTCGAACAGATCATTTTCTCAGTACACAACATTGTTTAAATCCTAAAGTAAAGCACTTCCTATATAATACAAAACACAAATAAATCGAGTTCAGACATGTTTTATTTTCAAGCATTCAAAACAGCAACAAGCGCAACAGAGACCGAGAATCAAATCAATATTGAAATGTTTGAAGTCAAACACACATTATATGCCCTTGACAACGAAGTTTCAACAACAATTTGATACCCCCGTGATCTGTTGTATGTATATCGCACACAAACAAAGTTCAAATCCTCAGCCAAGGCTTTCCTTCGTAACCTCCGTGTCTTATACTTACTGTTCCAGGTAGCGTACAATTTTACTGAATTATTGAATTTCTTAATTACTACTTACCTCATCTACAGGTATGTCACCATGGTCACCATTATTGGTCATAAATAAAGTTAATTTCGTTGATTTTTACCAATTTAAATAGAGCTATAGAGAAACTATTTCTTTAACAAGAAAGCACCATAAGGCTTTATGCATTCATTATTTCAGTACGTACTTATACTATATTAATAAAAAATGAATAACAAACAAACAAACCAAAACACCCCCCCCCCCCAAAAAAAAAACAAAAAAAACACCGCCCTTGTTTGATGACCTACCTTTTAACTGAAGTGGTGAAATTACCCGGAGCCACAGACACAACACAGATTACGGCGTACATTTATACAACCAACACGTCCGTAAATGTGGTCGCACTGTGGTCCCTGAGTGATCCTCGCCTACCCCAAGCACTAGAAAGCGACAGCGGGGTCGCTGTGGCGAGGGCCCAAGAACCGGGAACAGACCCTAGATGCGAAAATCCAGGGAGGTTACGAAGTAAGCATTGGCTACGGTGTTAAACTTTCTTCCTGCGCGAAAGAACCCACTTCCAATCCACCCCCATTTTGGACGGAAGCAGGGGGCAGGTAGTTCCGCTGAATACTGAAAGCGCGCTGTTTATATACCCTACAGGACAAGTCACGTCATAGGTCCAAAAATAAAACAGCTGACGGTGGCAATTACTTCGGATATCCTCTGATTTTTTCTCGATACCAAAGGTAAAAGCATGCGATATGTTATGTCCTGTCTCGCGCACTCGATTGCGATTGATTGTGCAATTCGTTCATTAAATGCGGATCTAATCCGTTTTCATGAATGTACATGTGTAATGGAGTCTGTAAATTGTACATCGATTGTACGTGTTAAGGGTGTATACAAGTAATCATGTATAGTTATATTTATACTGTAAACATGTCATTAGTAAACAAAATTTGGGATAGCATAAGATTGAGATTTTGGGACACTTCATGGAAACGTAGTCAAACTAAGAACGTACTTTAATTAAAAAAGTACTTTAATTAAAAAAGTACGGAATGCAATGGAAAAATCTAGTGCGATTATTTGTATGTATGTATGTATATGTGTATATATATATATATATATATATATATATATATATATATATATATATATATATATATATATATATATATATATATATATATATATGAGATTTTGGGACACTTCATGGAAACGTAGTCAAACTAAGAACGTACTTTAATTAAAAAAGTACGGAATGCAATGGAAAAATCTAGTGCGATTATTTGTATGTATGTATGTATATATATATATATATATATATATATATATATATATATATATATATATATATATATATATATATATATATATATATATATAATAGTCAAATTTTGTTATTTTCAATGTTAAAATTTATATTTAAATCTTTAAACAGAAAAATTGGATGATTTTTACCCAATGAGTTGAGTGCTTTCTTTCCTAAGCCATACATAATTGTAAAATAGATGTTACATACATATTATTAAGTATTTGAAGTAATCTGTAATTACAAAATACTCATCTTCTATTTATTTATTTATTATTTTAGTTCGCCAAGTTCAAGTAGTGGAGAAAAACCGGGAATCGCATTTATATTATGCTTTTATTGAATACATGTATATAATTTTCAAGTTATAGACACCGTGTATTAACAGTATTATTAAGAACGAGATGGTTATTGCACGAGATTTTCCCGTTGCATTCTGTACTCTTGTTTTCTAAGCAGCATTATTTACTAAGTAAATCGTCTTTACTACTATAGGACCTGGGCCCGGGCGTTACAGATTGCCCTCAACTGTGGGATGTGAAGCCCACGATTGCACTAGACAGATGCAGCCTGCCTATTCCTTTGGGAGATTGGAAGGACGAGGTACAATACGTATAACACGTAGATAAACAATTATCAATACTAGTAGGCCATTTATCAAACAAATCAATTGTTTTTATGTAATGATAGCGTTTTCACTGTGATTATTTAATAGTACGAGAAACAAACGACCAGTTAAAACACTGAAATGTTGATATCTGATATTGTTTGCAGTCCATTTCAAGGACTGGAGTCCTGGCCCTGCCTACTACATCGATCCTAGGATCACCCGTACTGGGATGGACGGTACCCCCGTGTACTCTTTGCTGGCCAGACAAAAGGACCCCAGTAAGCTCTCTGAATAATCTTTGATGAAAGATTTGTGCTAGTAGAAAGTACAGAACTTAATTATATTTATGTAAGCATTATTCCCGATTTTAGATACCTTCAAAACCCCTTCTCCTGGACTTTATTCTCCGGAAAAGGTTCATCCTCCTGGTGAGAGACACGCCCCTCAGTACTCCATCAGCGCCAGAACTAGACTGAGGCGCATCGACCAGAACCCTGCTCCCAATAAGTACACTCTACCGCCGATACTCGGTAACAAGCAGCCCAATAAAGCAGCGGCTCCAGCCTACGACATAACTAGCCGCAGAGAGGTGGTCTTTTTATGTTCCAAATTTTATTTTGTTCATATAAATGGATTTATATTATACAAATAATTGAATATGAAGGGACTATTAGTACAAATTTTTATAAATAGAATTACGTACGTGAAACCGGAACACCAGTTGAATAATTAAATACAAAGGGCATGTTAGTATAGAAAGACCCTCTCGGAAAAATGGTTGTTTATACAAATAAATAAAAATGAAGGGCTTGAAACTACAAGTGGATTATTATACAAAGAATAAAATACAGGGGGTAGGTTAATATACGAATTCGATTACAATTACAAAATTACAATATGACAGATAATTCGGACGGCATAATAAAGATTAATTATTAAGATTGAATGAATTATTAAAAGGGACATGTTAATGCGAATGGATAATTAAAAATAAAATTAAACAAGAAGGGCATTTTACTTCTGGTGATTTATTTATAAGAAATTAAAAAAAACAAAGGGAATGTTAATACGAATGGACTATTCCAACCTATGAAAATTAGAAAGGAATAATATTTTCATTTATATATTTCAATTAATTCTTTATTTTCCTTATGCCATTATTCACATCTATATATATAGTGCAGGTATTTTCCTTTTCTTTTATCCACGCACACTTATAATAAGAAGTAGGAATGAAGACCATTTACCTAAATGTTTCCAGCTAGCAAGCATAAAGAATACTATAATTGCTCTTCAGTTTCGCTTGACTGGAGAATTTTATTTAACCCTCAATTTTTTCTATTTTTTAGGGAATATTATGTTATTTTTATAAGCTGGGTATGTTTATTTTTTTCTTATTTTCACATATGGTGAAGTAGTCATATAAAGATACATCGAGGAAAACATTTTTTTACCCCTATTTTTTGCTCAAATCTGTTCTTAAGCTCAAACGTTCAAAATCTAACAAGATTGTAGTTTGTCTGGAAAATCATATTTATTTGATATATTTTAAAACCTTAGTCCGTAACTATAATTTCAGTTACTTTTGTAAATTTCTATATCCCTTTATTTGTTTAAAAATGTTTATACTTCATTCGATAATAATCATAATATAATAAGAAGCATAAAAAAGAGATATATTCATATAATCCGCCAAAAATATAGTCCCTGCTAGAGTTTCAACACAGTTTTAATAATATTTCTATTTAAGATAAAAATAATGTTTTTATTCCTGACAAGACATTTAAGCAAATATTGAATATTTCATTTAGTCAGAAACCAGACAAGAATTCCTACTTAAATAAATATAATCCAGTTTTGTTACATGTACGTCAGGGTCACATATTTTTTTTTTTATCATTATCTTTTTTATTACTTTGTGCTTTTGAATAGTTTTAAATATCTTACCCCATCTTCCACTCACCTGGACTTCTTGGTACACTATCTTTTTTTTTTTTTTTTTAAATCTTTATATATTCAGTAATTGACATTTATTGATTTAATTATGAAAATGGATCATTCTTAGCTTGTTTTCAGTTAAACCAGTAGCAGAATTGATGTAACTTTTATGTTTTAAATCTGATAGTTTTGCATTAAATATTTCACAACCACGTGAGTAACAAAGACAAAAAGGTAAGAACACAAATTTATTGACTGTTTTTCTCTTTTTAATGTGTTTGTCTTGTGCACGGCATTTATCAATCTTGCGTTGATAGCCTTCAGTCAACCCAAGCATACATTTTTTTTTCAACTTCCATTTATTTAATTGCTGGATTTCTATAGGAGTAGGGTTATGAATATATAGTTACGTATACGTGGTTCATAAATAATTCTAAAGAACATTTCAATGTAGTGAGATTGAAATTTGTGACTATTCTGAATTTAGATCCAAGAAAAAAAAGACCTCTTAAGGACATACGCAACGTACCTTACCTACTGATAATTTTTCAAGATATTCTTAATTTAAGATTATAGTGCCATCAGATGTTCGTCGACAAAAAATCAGCATGCATTACCAGGGGTTTTGAAAAGATATCCATTGATGAAAATTCTTGTATAATTCAAAGAAAAATACACAAAAATTACTAAACACATGTTCTAGATGTTTTGTTTATCCAAACTTGTTTTAGAAGAAGTGTACAACAGCATATATAGACATACAAATGTAGCACACAATTCCTTTAAGTACTGGAACTCTTCAACTCCAGGGAAAAAGACAATAAAGTTCAAACTACGTTGCGTATGTCCTTAAACTTTTTTTTTTTAATTTTCTATCGGAGAAAAAGTTTTTTCATGCATATACATGTATTTTGAAATGATAATGACGTAAATGAATTGGCAACGAAGTAAAAATAATAAGAGGCTAGTGTTCTATTTTTTAAAAAGTATGACTGTTGTGTTGTTAGTCATTATTTTAGTGTATTATGATTTACAGTTATTGTAATATACGTTTTACTGCCATTTTAGATCGGCAGTTACCTGGAGGACCTGTGTAAAACTCCGGGTCCGGGGAAACACAACGCCACCCACCCCAACATCAACAAGACCATGGCACCTCTGTACTCCATCAGAAGCAGGAGCTATGCCCCTGGGGACAACACCCAAAAGCCTGGTCCTGGAGCACACAGTCCAGAGAAAGTTGTCATTGCCCGCCCCCAGGCTCCCAAGCATTCACTGGGGATTCGCCATTCCGAGTTTATTTGTCCACTCATTGCTGAAGGCTAGCTTTCCCCCTTACGACTGCAATGTTGAACTGTGTATATGTATAAATAATAGAACTTTTTTGAAATTTTTTAATTAAAGTTTTATTGTAATGACAGTGAAAGTGTCAATTTAAAATTAAGATTTTTTGTGTAAATTTTGGCGTTCTGTAGAACGGAATAAACAGCGCAAAAAGACGATATGTGGTTCAGTTGTCTTTATCTACAAAATGACGATATGTAGTTCAGTTGTCTTTATCATACAAAATGACGATGTGTAGTTCAGTTGTCTTTAAAATACAAAATGACGATGTGCAGAGCAGTTGTCTTTATCATACAAAATGACGATATGTAGTACAGTTGTCTTTATCATACAAAATGACGATATGTAATGCAGTTGTCTTTATCATACAAAATGACGATATGTAGTGCTGTTGTCTTTATCATACAAATTGATGATATGCTGTGCAGTTGTCTTTATCATACAAAATGACGATATGTAGTGCTGTTGTCTTTATCATACAAAATGACGATGAGCAGTGCAGTTGTCTTTATCATACAAAATGACGATGTGCAGTGCTGTTGTCTTTATCTACAAAATGACGATATGTAGTTCAGTTGTCTTTATCATACAAAATGACGATATGTATAGTGCTGTTGTCTTTATCATACAAAATGACGATATGTAGTACAGTTGCCTTTATCATACAAAATGACGATGTGCAGTGCAGTTGTCTTTATCATACAAAATGACGATGTGCAGTGCTGTTGTCTTTATCATACAAAATGACGATATGTATAGTGCAGTTGTCTTTATCATACAAAATGACGATGTGCAATGCTGTTGTCTTTATCTACAAAATGACGATATGTAGTGCGGTTGTCTTTATCATACAAAATGACGATATGTAGTACAGTTGTCTTTATCATACAAAATGACGATATGTATAGTGCTGTTGTCTTTATCATACAAAATGACGATATGTAGTACAGTTGCCTTTATCATACAAAATGACGATATGTAGTACAGTTGCCTTTATCATACAAAATGACGATATATAGTTCAGTTGTCTTTATCATACAAAATGACGATATGTATAGTACTGTTGTCTTTATCATACAAAATGACGATATGTAGTACAGTTGTCTTTATCATACAAAATGACGATATGTAGTACAGTTGTCTTTATCATACAAAATGACGATATGTAGTACAGTTGCCTTTATCATACAAAATGACGATATGTAGTGCTGTTGTCTTTATCATACAAAATGACGATATGTAGTACAGTTGCCTTTATCATACAAAATGACGATATGTATAGTGCTGTTGTCTGTATCATACAAAATGACGATATGTAGTTCAGTTGTTTTTTAATCATACATTATGACGATATGTAGTTCAGTTGGATTTATCATACAAAATGACGATATATAGTACAGTTGCCTTTATCATACAAAATGACGATATGTAGTACAGTTGTCTTTATCATACAAAATGACGATATGTAGTGCTGTTGTCTTTATCATACAAAATGACAATATGTAGTACAGTTGCCTTTATCATACAAAATGACGATATGTAGTACAGTTGCCTTTATCATACAAAATGACGATATATAGTACAGTTGCCTTTATCATACAAAATGACGATATGTAGTACAGTTGCATTTATCATACAAAATGACGATATGTAGTGCTGTTGTCTTTATCATACAAAATGACGATATGTAGTGCAGTTGTTTTTATCATACAAAATGACGATATGTAGTACAGTTGTCTTTATCATACAAAATGACGATATATAGTACAGTTGTCTTTATCATACAAAATGACGATATGTAGTACAGTTGTCTTTATCTACAAAATGACGATATGTAGTACAGTTGTCTTTATCATACAAAATGACGATATGTAGTGCAGTTGTCTTTATCATACAAAATGACGATATGTAGTGCAGTTGTCTTTATCATACAAAATGAAGATATATAGTACAGTTGTCTTTATCATACAAAATGACGATATGTATAGTACTGTTGTCTTTATCATACAAAATGACGATATGTAGTACAGTTGTCTTTATCATACAAAATGACGATATGTAGTACAGTTGTCTTTATCATACAAAATGACGATATGTAGTACAGTTGCCTTTATCATACAAAATGACGATATGTAGTGCTGTTGTCTTTATCATACAAAATGACGATATGTAGTACAGTTGCCTTTATCATACAAAATGACGATATGTATAGTGCTGTTGTCTGTATCATACAAAATGACGATATGTAGTTCAGTTGTTTTTTAATCATACATTATGACGATATGTAGTTCAGTTGGATTTATCATACAAAATGACGATATGTAGTACAGTTGCCTTTATCATACAAAATGACGATATGTAGTACAGTTGTCTTTATCATACAAAATGACGATATGTAGTGCTGTTGTCTTTATCATACAAAATGACAATATGTAGTACAGTTGCCTTTATCATACAAAATGACGATATGTAGTACAGTTGCCTTTATCATACAAAATGACGATATATAGTACAGTTGCCTTTATCATACAAAATGACGATATGTAGTACAGTTGCCTTTATCATACAAAATGACGATATGTAGTGCTGTTGTCTTTATCATACAAAATGACGATATGTAGTGCAGTTGTTTTTATCATACAAAATGACGATATGTAGTACAGTTGTCTTTATCATACAAAATGACGATATATAGTACAGTTGTCTTTATCATACAAAATGACGATATGTAGTACAGTTGTCTTTATCTACAAAATGACGATATGTAGTACAGTTGTCTTTATCATACAAAATGACGATATGTAGTGCAGTTGTCTTTATCATACAAAATGACGATATGTAGTGCAGTTGTCTTTATCATACAAAATGACGATATGTAGTGCTGTTGTCTTTATCATACAAAATGACGATATGTAGTGCAGTTGTCTTTATCATACAAAATGACGATGTGCAGTGCAGTTGTCTTTATCATACAAAATGACGATGTGCAGTGCAGTTGTCTTTATCATACAAAATGACGATGTGCAGTGCTGTTGTCTTTATTTACAAAATGACGATATGTAGTGCAGTTGTCTTGATCATACAAAATGACGATATGTATAGTGCTGTTGTCTTTATCATACAAAATGACGATATGTATAGTGCTGTTGTCTTTATCATACAAAATGACGATATGTATAGTACTGTTGTCTTTATCATACAAAATGACGATATGTAGTACAGTTGCCTTTATCATACAAAATGACGATATGTAGTTCAGTTGTCTTTATCATACAAAATGACGATATGTAGTGCTGTTGTCTTTATCATACAAAATGACGATATATAGTTCAGTTGTCTTTATCATACAAAATGACGATATGTATAGTACTGTTGTCTTTATCATACAAAATGACGATATGTATAGTGCTGTTGTCTTTATCATACAAAATGACGATATGTAGTACAGTTGCCTTTATCATACAAAATGACGATGTGTAGTGCAGTTGTCTTTATCTACAAAATGACGATATGTATAGTGCAGTTGTCTTGATCATACAAAATGACGATATGTAGTGCAGTTGTCTTTCTCATACAAATTGACGATGTGCAGTGCAGTTTCTTTATCATACAAAATGACGATATGTAGTGCAGTTGTCTTTATCATACAAAATGACGATATGTAGTGCAGTTGTCTTTATCTACAAAATGACGATATGTATAGTGCAGTTGTCTTTATCATACAAAATGACGATATGTATAGTGCAGTTGTCTTTATCATACAAATTGACGATAAGTAGTGCAGTTGTCTTTATCTACAAAATGACGATATGTATAGTGCAGTTGTCTTGATCATACAAAATGACGATATGTAGTGCAGTTGTCTTTCTCATACAAATTGACGATGTGCAGTGCAGTTGTCTTTATCATACAAAATGACGATATGTAGTACAGTTGTCTTTATCATACAAAATGACGATACATATATGTAGTGCAGTTGTTTTTATCATACAAAATGACGATATGTAGTGCTGTTGTCTTTATCATACAAAATGACGATATGTAGTGCAGTTGTCTTTATCATACAAAATGACGATATGTAGTACAGTTGTCTTTATCTACAAAATGACGATATGTAGTGCAGTTGTCTTTATCATACAAAATGACGATATGTAGTGCTGTTGTCTTTATCTACAAAATGACGATATGTATAGTGCAGTTGTCTTTATCATACAAATTGACGATAAGTAGTGCAGTTGTCTTTATCTACAAAATGACGATATGTATAGTGCAGTTGTCTTGATCATACAAAATGACGATATGTAGTGCAGTTGTCTTTCTCATACAAATTGACGATGTGCAGTGCAGTTGTCTTTATCATACAAAATGACGATATGTAGTACAGTTGTCTTTATCATACAAAATGACGATACATATATGTAGTGCAGTTGTTTTTATCATACAAAATGACGATATGTAGTGCTGTTGTCTTTATCATTCAAAATGACGATATGTAGTGCAGTTGTCTTTATCATACAAAATGACGATATGTAGTACAGTTGTCTTTATCTACAAAATGACGATATGTAGTGCAGTTGTCTTTATCTACAAAATGACGATATGTAGTGCAGTTGTCTTTATCATACAAAATGACGATATGTAGTGCTGTTGTCTTTATCTACAAAATGACGATATGTATAGTACAGTTGTCTTTATCTACAAAATGACGATATGTAGTACAGTTGTCTTTATCTACAAAATGACGATACATGTATGTAGTGCAGTTGTCTTTATCTACAAAATGACGATATGTAGTGCAGTTGTCTTTATCATACAAAATGACGATATGTAGTGCTGTTGTCTTTATCTACAAAATGACGATATGTATAGTACAGTTGTCTTTATCATACAAAATGACGATATGTATAGTGCTGTTGTCTTTATCATACAAAATGACGATATGTAGTACAGTTGTCTTTATCTACAAAATGACGATATGTAGTACAGTTGTCTTTATCTACAAAATGACGATATGTAGTGCAGTTGAGCGTATTTATTGAGCGCCATATTAAAATAAAATCAAGTTTTTAAAGATATCTTTAAATATTTGAAGATTTCATCAATTCATTTAAGAATACTAACCATTGTTGCGCGGATTAATTTAGTTTAAGAGAGCA